TTAGAAGATGTTTTCTCTCATTGCACAGGTCAAAGTGCCATTTTGACTCTTCTATTTACTAATAGAAACCCATTCATAACAAGCTGCTTTCTGCCATAGAAGTCAGCGGGCAAGGGTGCATTTTCTTTTCCTTTTGCTGTTGATTGTGCAGCCTTAGTTATGTATTTTTGTAACTGGTGGCCCCACAATGGGTAGCCCTTTAAACAGCTTATCATTATCTGGCAGCTCATCATTATCTAGCATTCACAGAATGGTGGCTTGAGCCTTAGCTGGCCTTCTGGGAACTTTCTGCTGCAAAGAAAGAGGGAGATATGTTACTAGGATTTGAATTAAACCAGCAATCTCCTTTCCTGTGGATTAAAGAGTGTTAAAATAGGAATATGTAGGAGAAGGAAGGTATTAATTTTAAGGTCAGTGCCTGACTGTTGCATGCATGTTACTGGCCAGCACCTCTCTTAATTGCAGAAAATGGATTACTTGGATATCCAATGTAGAAAGCAGATGGATGTGCATCCTTATTTTCCTCCCCTGGGAAGGTCACAGTGTCTCTGAGGCGAATAACAAACCCTGCCAGTGTATGGTCAGCAGATGCTTTCTGCACTGTGACTGCAGAGAAGAGTGAACTGCTGCCATTAATGACTGTCAGGGCTGTTCTTTCGCTTTACTTATTTCACCCTTTATTATTATGAGTATTGGTTAATGTGTTTTTCATCTCTTTTGTGTCTGCTCAGCAGCTGATGCCTCTCAAAGAAGGGACAAACTATCTTAAGGGATAAAAATGGGAGCAGATTTTATTTGCATTGCTGACATTTGTGTCTTACCATTTTTTAGTATCTTTGCCACGCTATGTACCCAACAGGTTGCAAGAAGACTGACATTGGCAAAAGGTTGCATCTGGTTAGAGATGAACTGTAGCAGTTCACAGGGTAAATAGCCCTAAATTAGGATTTTGCTAGAATTATCCAACTTAAGCATCAAGATGAAGGCTATCTTATGAATTGACTATAATATAAACTATATAAACTATAATAATGATTATTATATAAACTATAATAATGATTAACTTGTTTTAATTGACCCTTGGGTCATTCTGGTTTTTATTTTTTTATTTTTTGTAGGATGTTATTACATTTTTAGCTCTCCAAATTAATTAACTTCTTGTTAAAAATCTCTATTTTCTGTACTGCCCTCGGACATCACCAGTAGGTTGTCCCTCACGTTGAGAAGGTTCATGCAGGAAGGATAACTTACTGATCCAAGGAAATGGACAACAGAGTGCTATGGGCATTGGCAGACAATTTGCCTTGCAGGCAAATGTGTGCTGCAGGTTTGTGTCACAGCTGTTGTCACCAGGCTGACCTTGTCTCATAGGAGATGACACTTAGCCTAATTTTCTCCCAGACTCTAGAGTGACCAGGTTCAATTTTAGAGCAGAAGTGGGTAAATGTGCTGCTCAGACTTATGGCTGGCATATGTTGAAGAGTGGTCTGATTTCCTCTCATCTTACACTGAACCATTCCCCAGTAGCTGGCAAAGGCCAGTGTGGAGATTTGATTTGCTGAGATGGGCAATTATTGCTTTTGAGAGAACAGAGAGAGGCTCTGTTAGGTACAGGAAGCCAATAGCTCTTCACAAAAGACCCTTGATGTTCTGGACTGAACTGTAGTTGGTGCTAATTTCAACTCTTTAGGGACGTCTTAATCATATGGGACCAGAATATTTTTAGGAAAAAAATGAAGATTTTTTTTTTTTCAGCTTTTGTCTCTTTGCTGAAGATACCAGTAGATAAGAGAGACAACCCCAGTCCTTCAGGGAGTATTTCCAAGAGCAGAATACAAGAAGATAGATATGATGATCATATTTAGTGTTTGGTGGTCTTAGGTCTCTCACATACTGTGATTTCTCCTCTAACACAGGGCATTTTATGTCACTACCTGCTATCAGACAGGTTTAGTAGATGTCAAACCCAGCACAATTTCAGCCTCAGCACTATAGTGAAGCAGCAACAGTAAACTTCTTGCCCAAAATTACACGTGCTTGAAAAAACCTGCCCTGTAGAGTGCCTTGATGTGTCCTGACTCTCAGTACAGAACCACAGAATCATAGACTCATTAAGGTTGGAAATTACTTCCAAGTTCTTTAAGTCCAACTAAACCATGACACTGAGTCCCACATCCAGTGGTTTCCTGAACACTTAAATTCTCAGAATTTGTGGCTTTAAGTACCCATACAGAGGTCAAACCCAGAACCTTGGTGTTATTAGCACCATGCTCTAACCACCTCAGATAATTGCATGCACCAAGTACTTGAAAAAAAAACTATCTTCATTTAAAGAAGTGAAAATAATTTTTTAGCTTAATTTTATTAACTAGCTTGCAGTGACTTATGTTATAATGATAGGAACATAAGTTCATAAATAAAAAATGCCTCCTGGATGTTAGCATATAGAAAGGAATGTTTTGTAGTGATAAGAACTGATCCCTGAGACTGAGATCAGAGTTGTGTTTCTATCTCCACCAGAATTACCATGAGCTCTAGTAGATCTCTGAGTTTAACTGATTTGACTAAATAGAGTAGAATTTGTGTATCTCAATTGTATTTTTCCTGGACAAGAATTTAGAGCTGTTTTTGTTATACTTTTCTAGATCTTTATGCATAATTTTTCCCATGGATTTATTACAGAATAAATTAATTTGGAGGTACTGTCATGGGACATTTATTTGATTCTCATTTGAAAGATCAAAACACACTTTTGAGCTACAGTCTGGATTCTTAGTATGAAAAAATGTTCCTCCTGGTTGAAAAGACATGGTTTTGCAAACTAATGGAGCCTGAGATTCTATTTCTGGTACATATTAACTACATTTTCTGAGAACAAACCAATTTGTGTAATTACTCTAAATTCCTTCCACAGCCAGAAGCCTGTACAACTCCCTACTGATAGTCTTTTCAGTATTATTTCCATATCCATGCACTTATTCCAGTTATGTCTTTTACAGGAATACTACTTCAAGAATTCTCTTTAGAGAGTATTTTATTTCTCATAAGGTTTTAGATCATCCATATAGTTTGATTTTTAGCTTTGTTATTTGCTAACTGGAGTCTCTTTTTGTTTACTTCTTATTCATATATACCAAAAGGACCTGAAAGCCTTGAGCAGTTCCATGATCCTGTAGTGGGGGACACCCTACTGACTGAAAGAAAGAAAATCTCAAGTCAAGAGAGCTTAAAGTAGCTAAGGTATAGGAAGTAAATAGGTGTAGAAAAAGAGGATAAAATGGAGAAAATGAGCCAAGATTTCAGGAAAGACAAAGAAGGATATAATCTCTCTGAAATCAAATTAACTTAGGATATTGGTGGCTAAAATGTACATGAGTGCAAAGCAGAAATTGAAACAATCTCCTTTTCACTAATACTTGATCTGTGTCCCAGTTCTGGATAGTCATAAGAAATGCTGTCCCAGGGGTGATAGGTCCTACACCTGCTGTCAGACACTCCCTGGTGCAGCCTGGCATGAGTCAGCCCCAGAGCTTCTTACCAACGTGAGACAAGGAGTCAGACACTACTGTGTGGCACCAGTTTCTCCTCAGACATCTGAGCAGAGGGGTGCCCATGGTGGGCAGCAGGGTGGTCACTCTGCAGGTCAGTGTGGTGAAGGACTCCTTTGACCAGGCTGAGATCAAGGCTGTTTCCTTGTGAGCAGCTGTGCTCTAACAAACAGGCTCCTGTACTCTCTTTAGGAGTGCACCTCAAACCAGAGGCACCCATGCACTGTAGATGCTTTCAACAATAGTTTCCACATCTTGTAGAAAACAGAACAGGGTGGCCTGATCAGAACTACCAACACAGCCTACATATTTTCTCACCTTTAGCCTGATCTTGATTAATTTTTTTTTTAGTATTTGAAAAATAAAATCCAAAATTATTTAATGTCAGATGTGTAAAATTACTGTGCTACGCATCATGTAAGTGACTACTGGCTTCTGAAACAGCTGTAATTTTAATGCCTTTCCCTCCCTCTGGTAAATGGACATAAATATTCACAGGGCTGGGTACATTACGCTAGATAGATTATTCATTCATTTGCTGGAAGAAGTATTTTCAAATAAATGGTATTAAAAAAGAAAAGGACTGAAAAGGACTATCTCCACAGTCCCCTTTAACCAATGTCAGTGCATTACAGCATAGCTGAATTTGGTGAGACACTGATAGGTAAGGTATTCTGAAGAGTACATGTGTCAGTGAGAATTTAAGGGATGTTTGAATTGTTTTTCTAATTTTGCATACAAATATTGATATTGTGCAATACTGAATAAATTTATCGCATGTGTAGTAGGGCTTATCAGTAAAAGCCCTACTACAGGGAAACCAGGAGGGATTTTCTTGAGTAGAGTCAGCTGGATTTTATCAGAAAGATATACATTTTATTTGCAGAAGAGAAGAGGCAAACATTCATTTTCATTGTATTCCTTTACTACTTAGTTATACTTGGAGGTTCCATTAGCTTTGGAGCACTAGTGACTACTTCTGCTTTGGTCTTTTTTTCAATGAAGAATTATTATTATTTTGTTAGCATACCTTTCTGCTTAGAAGAAGGAAATTGCCTTACCCTCAGAGCAGAGTTCATCCTGTCTGATGTAGTCATGTGCAGAGCAGATGTGGAGTCTAAGCCCCCTACTTCCAACTCTTTTTCTAGTCAGTGAAGAAAGATGAGCACTTCTGGAGTAGTTTTTCTCTGAAATCCACCTCAGGATGTCAGGGATTTCACACTGAAATTGTGAAATACACCATTTGGTGTACAGGGTCAAGATGATGGTGTTTGTCTAAGTACCAAACCAAAGCTCAAAGAAGATGGGATGAACTCCTACATGAGTGATAGTCAGTTCTTGGTGCCATGTCAATGGCTTGGGAAAGTGTTTATGAAAAAGCAGTGTTTGACAGGATGAAGTGTGATGCTGTGGAATGTCCCATGGATTTACAGTCTCAATTTCCAATTTCAGGGAGGAGAACATTGCTATTATCAGGGAAAAATTCGAGGAAATTCTGTATCATTTGTTGCCTTGTCAACATGCCATGGATTACAGTAAGTCTGCTGTTTTGTTTTTACTGACTTTTGTTTATCACTCTTTTAAGCCAAATCAAGTTATTTAGAGTAAAATAATACATGAATATAGTAAAATAAGTGCTGTCTATTTTCCTACTACTTTGTCACCAATATTAAGTAATCAAAAATCATCAGAATTTACTTTTTTTTTCTAAATTCAGGACTAATGGCTGTGGCCAGATATTGTTTTAAGATAACTTATTATAGAGATAGCAGAGTAGAAGTAGCTGAAAACATCCTATTCTACAAAAATAAAAACAATGCCAATGAATTATTTGGAAATTGTGTTCTTTTCTTGTTACTATTATGATGTATACTTTATTTCTTTTCTCATATCTTTACAAAAAAAATGTCACTTTAGCATTTATCTTGCATTATCCATTTTTGTTAACAGAATTTCTGGCCTTAAGCTGTGTGTATGGGGTAATACCTTGCATATAGTAAAATCCTGAAAAATCTAGAAGAAAAGGTATGAGGGTGCAATAATTTTTCTTTGAAGTACAAAATTTTACTTATAAATAAATCCTCAGTCAAGTGAAGGTTACATGAAGCTGTGTATGGATTGTACAGATTTTGGACCTGTCTACTTTTGGCACTATTGAATGATGCTAGTCAGGTTTTCAGATCAACCAAGTGCCTGTCACATCTGGGAATTACAGGATCTCAGCACTACTAATACTGACATCAGCTTGAAAAGGCTGGCACCAAGTGAGCCTGTGTGGAGCTCACCTGAGCTTCACCTTTTTCTGTGGAAACAGGGTTAAGCTGATGAAAATCTTCTTCAGCCTATTGTCTATCTGCAATTACTCTGTAGTTCTGATGTCAGTCATATAAGTACTTTTTATTTGAGTAGTGTCTTTCTTTTATAGTTGTATATTCTTTGTTATGAAGGGGAGAATGCCTGCAGAAGACTTGCCATCCTTGCACTTGTCTGATTTACAGCTGTGCAGCTCAAGAAACTTGAGCCCAGTTTGAAGCATGGACAGTGAGCCTAAAAATAGTAGCTTCCTAATGCATCCTGAGGCCCTGCATGGCTTCCATTAGCAGGGATCCATTAGGTCTTGGCCCCTGCTAACTCCTAGGAGAAAAAGCAGGAACAAAGGAGAGCCTGCATATGTCTCTCCCTCTCCTCTTTCTGTGAGTTTATGCTTAAAACTGGCTGTTCTGCTATTCTTCAATGGCCTGATATCCAAATTGGTCCCTTCTAAGTTGCATGATAGATGATGCATTTTTTTCACTGTATAATTCAGCTCTCTCTTAAAAGATATCGCCCTGTCTCCTCTCTCCACCCCACCTCCATTTTTCCCCCTGATACAATAAAGTTTGAGCTGAGTTCTTTGACACAAGCTTACTCTAATCAGGCTGGTATTTCAAACATCCAGTATGAGAAACTAAAGTTTCCTGAGCTGCATTAAACTCACATTCTCTGCCACTGCATTTCCATCATTGCAACTAGCTCCTACACAGCTGATTTTAAATTATAAGGAATTACTAGAAACTCACACTGGCAATCAGAGCTCCTTAGCTTCAGCCACGCTTTGGAATATCTTGCTGGAATAAGGGCAGCTGGGCAGTTGTCTTCTGCAAGGTCTGGGCAGGAGCTTTGCTTTCATGAATTTTAGGAAGCACACAAGACAAAACAGATGCCTTTAAGAGAATAACAAGCTTCATATTTCTAAAGGTCATTCCAGTCTCCTCTTTTGCATGTTAGTACCTCTAGATCTCAGCCAGTAACAGCAGAATTATTCATACAGGTGAAAAAATGTTGGGGTTTTTTAATCATAAGTTACGAGTTCTTCTTTTAGTAATGTCTGCTTTGCATCCTTCCTTTTATGAATTAAATCAATCACATCTGCCGGACAGAATACCTGAAATTATAGATGTCTTCTTAATGACTTGGCTAATGACAGATGTATCTCTGCCACCTTAACTTCGAGCGAGCCATTTTGCTTGGATTTTTGTTTTGTTTGTTTTCTGGAGGTGTGCAGTAACCAGGGTTTCCTATGAGCCAGCCCAGGAGAGGCTGTGGGTGCAAAGGCCAGCGAGCTGCGCTGAGCAGGGCTCCAGCAGCGGGCACGGCCGGGATCTTGCTGCCGGCTGGTGGCGAATGCAAACACTGCCAGCACTGCTGGGGATTCCGCTGTCACGGCTGCAAAGGGGATTGCCTGAAGAATACACATCATCAAATGCAGGCTTTTGAAATGTTTTGCTTTCTCTTTAACACACCCATGAGCGTGTGGTTTATTCAGAGCACACTAGGTCTGTGGTAGCTGGTGGGAAAAGAGCCATGGATGCTTTGAATGGGCAGGTCAGGTCTGTAGGCCAGCTGTGACTACTGTTCTTGTCACTGGTGAGTGACTTGATCAGAGGCCAGAGCTGCTGGGAGCAGCAGTCTCACAAGAAGCTCTTTGCTGACAGTGCTTCAACTTGCAGACCCTGCTCAACTAAAGTTGCAATTAGAGGGAAGGAAATTGGGACTGGTAAAGAGCTACAGGATCTTCCCCAATCTTGTCTTATTTCCAAGCAAAGAAGCTCCAGCAGATGCTAGAATATTTTGCTTAAACTGTATAGACAGTATTTATATCTAAAGAATAGGCATGTGTAAGGTGAAGCAGCTTTATATTGTAGTTATGCTCATACTTCATATATGTTATACAGTCAGTAACCCAGATTACTTCTGTGAATGTCAATTTTGCCGATAAAAAAATGCTGCATAAAAGAAAAGGATCTGCTTTTGTTGCTTGTAATTCCTGTTTGCTTTGGGGGTTTTTAATAGTAACGTAAGTAAATAAATAATCTCACTTTCATGCTTTTGTTGCTGTGTGCTATATGCCAAATTTGAATTTACAGCTCATATTTAGGGCCAAGCTTAAACACCTTAGTAGTGGCCCTTTGAAAGGGACATGCTAATACAGCCTAATCCCAACCATGTGTGTACGCCACTGCAGTAAAGGAAAAAATACTTAATTAAATACTTAATTAAATTAATTACTTAATTAAGTAATACTTACTTAAAAATATTCTGGTTTGGTTGAAGATCAGAATGTATTGATTTAAGAAATAACATTTGTTTTTCTCCTCTTATGGAGTAATATAATATTTGTATCAACACTTTCTTTAAATGAAATGCTGAGGAAAGAGTTAATAAAAACTCATTAAAACCTAAGCATAATTAAATTCCATTCAATACCACTTTTATTTGGGGAAAGTTCCAAATATGTGTTCCTAAAGACAGGTCCCTTATTTATCTGTTGCAGTTAAATATCTCCTGCATTGGAGTGGGGACTTTGAACTGGATTTTCAGTTGGTTAAATTAGTCCATTTGTGTTTATGTGTGTTGTAGAGAAGGTTTGTGGAAGAAAGAAGTCAGTTTCACCACAGGAGAAAATCTTTCTCCTGTGAAGAAGAAAAGTGAAGAAACAAAAAGATTGATCCAGAACTGCATTCAGTTCCTGAAACTATTTTAAACTTCCTTTCCCAAATATTTAAATTTTTAAAATATATTAACTTTAAGAAGTTACTTCCATGTTGCACTAGTGTTTCTTTATTAAATCTGTATTTACATTTCCTGCCCTTGACAGTGGGATGTTCTATGATGGAAATCATACTTACCTTATTGAACCAGATGAAAACTACACTTCAGATGTAAGTAGAATTTACAGCAGTCCAGCTGTGTTTTCTTGAGTAGTCATCCATGGGTACCGGGTAGGCATAAGGCCGTGGGACCAAAGGGTCATCCCCTCATTCCCAATTTATGTACCTTGAATGTGGAACTCCATCTTCACAGACAAAAGCAGACCTGCACTGTCATTAGCCAGTGATGTGTCTATATGTGTGTGCCCTGTAGCTCTTGGCAGTAGAGCACTGCAGCACCAGAGGAGGCTCCCTTGGAGCCTGTGAGTGCCCAGTGCCCTTCCCTGGCACTTCCTGCTCTGGGTTTATTATATCACTCTCCTCCTGGTTCTTCCTTGACTCCAGTTCAGCAGCTCCTGGGACTTTTCATTGTCTCTCTCTGAGCAGCTCTGGGAGCCCAATTTAGGCCTAGCTCTGTGTACTCTGCCTCTGTGTTTGAGGTACTCAGATGTGAAAGGTGATTAAATGTGGCATTAGCAATCACATTGCAGTTGGGAAAAGAAGAATGTAGAGTAATGGTGCTTTGCAACTTGCATGTTCTCTGGGGTATGTGTTGGGTAAAAAGAACCTTTGGAATTGTCTGTTTAATGCTCATGAGATGGATTAATTTTTCCTGATGTAATATGGGCAATTATTTACTATTTCAGGATGACTTCCATTTCCACTCTGTTTACAAATCCAAGTTGTTTGAATTTCCTTCAGTCGACCTGCCATCTGGTATGATTTTTTAGTATTCATGACTTATTGAGTGTTTTATTCTAAGGCCAAATTTGTTGTCTATATTTGATAGATCATCTTCTGAGAGTATATTGTTTTGGTATATATATCTTTTTTTAGCCAAATAAATTAAAAAAAAAAAAACACTGAAAAAACCCCATTTTGAAACAGTGAAAGCACAGGAAAAGAATCTGAAGTGATGAAAAAATCCTGAATCTAATGAATGAAATCTCTCCTAGACCTTCACATTGTGATATGTGTTTTTCTTAACAGGTCATGTGGTCTGTGGGCTGAATTATGTGCTGGTAGCTGTAGAGAGGAAAGGACTGAGGTAGCCTAGAGGTGATGAAAATTAACACCACCTTGATGGTGGTTGATAACTCTTCATGGGTTTTTCTGGTTTTGAGGTACAGGGTGAGTACCATGGAGTGAGCATAAGCCTGGGAGACAAGAAATTGCCCAATGTCACTTCTGCTCAGTGACTGTGATCTCCAGTCCCATCAGCATCTTTCACAGTGCTGGCTATGATGAGGGCCATGAGTTTCAGTGCAGATGAATTTGGAGGCAGAAGTGGTTTCAAGTGCTTGTAGTGATGAATGCCCATATTGTGTGTGGAGGGAGAAAGGTTTTTTTTTTTAAAAATGGGTTTTCATCTGAGAGGTTGGCTTGTTAATTGGAGCTAAAATTGCAGTATTTGTGACATATCCCCATTCTGTCAAGGATTTGTTACAGAAGTGTTTTCCTGCCCTACAATGCATATCCTAGATAAACATAACTGTCCTTTGTAGACACTGACATTTTGGTAGAAACCACCTCCAGTCTGATTTCTTCAGGAGAGTTACAGATGTTTGGTTCTCTTGTTGCAAACTATTTGTCCTATGGTAGCATTTGGATCTGAGATCCTGAAGTTCTAAGTACTGCATGCAGATGGGTCCATCCCTGGAGCGCAGTCTGTGCAGGTTTGCCAGTTGTTAAGCAAAGTAGAATCATTCAGGGAGCTAATGAGAAAAGAAGGAAAAAAAAGGAACTTGCTACAATCTGGTTGCCTTAATTTCAGTTCTGAAGAAGGAATCTGAATCCAAAGAAAAGCAGTGTCCCAGCTTGGTGCCACGTGTCCTGGGATGATGATTGCCCAGGCAAGGTACAGGCAATGTTGGGATGGAGGGAGATGAGCACAAAAGGCTCATGACTTTTGTGCAAGGCATTGACTTCTGTGCCACAAAACTCCCTGTGTACCTGCACCTTACACACATACCATGCTTACTAGCTGTGCTTGCAGAGATGATAGTGTAATGAGAGCAATTTATTGAACATAAGGCCAAATAATAGAGTGCATCATTTATCACATTTTCTTGAGGACATATAACTAAAAAGATTGGAAATAATGTAACCAATGCTGAGTTTAAAACAAATCTTCTATCTCAGGCTGTTAAACTAAGACACTGCTAGTGTTGGTACTTACTATCTATAAGCTCTTTTATAAGATTTCCTAATAGTGAATTTTATGTTTTCAAGATTATGGAATAAAATTGTTTTCTGCTTTTAAAATTATGTAAAGGGATTAATTGCAAGTAAATGCTCCAGTTTCACCTCCACCAAAGCTTCTTGATTTTCAAAAAACTGTCAAACTAGGGCTTCATGGTCTTGTTTTGTTTGTTTTCCCACAAAAATCCAGACATGCTTGTACAATTTTGATTTTACTACAGATAACAAATAAATAGTTGCTGGCTTTGCTGTACAAAGCCCAGCACATGACATAATGGAACATGTTGCCATCTAGATTGAATTAGAATCACAGGACTGTAGAAAAGGTTAAAAAGGAAATTCACTTGCAGAGTGCTATTCTTCTCAGGTGTGCAACTATTTGTAATGTGGATGAGAGGTACAGGGTGCTGATCTTCCATCACTTCATGTTTAGGGTCCCATGTATGGAGAAATAGACTCTAACACATAGTCTACTCTCCCACATACTCATACTTGTTTTTGTAAAATTGTTTGAAAAGGTGCTTCTGATGTTTGCAGTGAAAATTACAGTACATGTATACTATTATATCCTCATTAGGAAACCCACAATTTTTCTTTGTCTGTGATTATTCAATTTATCTCTCCTGTAAGTCATTCTCCAGATGACAGTCACAGCTTCAGAGGATGAGAGCTCCACCAGTATCTCTGTTTCTTCCCTGCCAGTCTGGAGAGGTCAGACTGCTGTCTTGACTTGACTTTTTTTTCTCTAATTAACATTTACAGTTAATTGCTACCAGTATTGTTGTGATTGATTTTTTGAAAGTACTACAACAAAATTATTATTAGCAGTAGCAAGCACTGTGCTGGCATATATCATCATGCTACTCTCATAATTTATCAATTTGACTGGCCTAAGGAGATTTTTCCTGAAGTCAAGATTTTTCTCTTATCTTTAAAAGACTGTGTATATTTCCACTCAGCATTTCCACTGCATTAGGAATGAGCTGGATAGAACACCAGTTTCAATACTGGTGTTAGAAAGGGAAAAAATTCAAGTGGTGGGGATTACTCAGTATCAGCGATAGTAAAAGCACACACTATTCTATCCCAGTTAAATAGCAATGTACTTTACACATTCTTTTGCTGGGTATTATAAAGAAAACCCACAAGCTGTTGCAGAAAAGAATTTCTTTTACTGTACTTTGCAATGGTCTGAGGAATAATGAGGATTTTAAATAAGGAAGCTTGGGCAGATGACTTGGCACACTTAGAGCATTTGACCTTGTATTTACCAGACTGTTTTTTCTCACAATCTCTGTTGAGATCTACAGTGCCCTGGCATGGTTTTAGATAACAATATGTTATCAAAGGTGCTGTTTTTCAAATAATACATAACAGATGTCATTTTCTTTTGGGATCACATGAAAAATATGTAGATACAGCACTTAGGAAGATGATTTAGTGGGACTTGGCAGTATTAGATTTATGGTTGGACTTGATTTTAGCAACTTTTTTCCAATCAAAATGATCCTATGATTTTGTGAGTCTTCATTACATTTTTTGTGGTAATATATTTCCATCAAAATATCTGCTAGGCTCTCTCAACTATCAACATTCCCTGTGGTTTTGCTGGTTGTGTTCTTTTGCCTGAGGGTCTTTGGCTGGAAATGCAACCTGTGTGCATTTATCCATCTTGTGAGTTATAAGGCACTGTTATTGTGTGTTAATGGTAATGGCTGCATCATTTCCCTTAGAGATGACTGACTGATTTCTGATTGTGAGGGAAATAAGCACATTTGCTGGTAAAGTTATCTGAGACTCTATATACATACTGTAAATTATTATTTTATTGATTGAAAAGTGTTATTTTTACCAGTTTCATTAAACATGTTATAAAATCAAAAATGACAGGTTGAGATCCAGTTGTGTGGCACTAGAACAGAGTCTAAACTAATTAACATACATAAAGCATAATAAAAAACATTGTAAAAAGGTTTCCAAGATCTAGTTTCTCATCATTGAAAGCTCAAGAGTCTGCAGGTCTTTAAGCAATATATAAGGAGCTTGGGTGTGATTTAATTTATCCTTGGTCATTTTTCTAAAGAAAGTCCTCAAGTGCATTGGTGTAACCATGAAAACATTTTTAAGCAGAGAGCCTGTGATTGTCTGGGTTGCTCTGTGAAAAGGTATCTGCAAACCTCACATACCAAAATGACACCATAGTCCCTCATTTACCCAAGACAATACCAGTTAGTCATGCTTTGTTTTCCTGCTTTGGCTTATTAGTAATTTGCCACTTTTTGTTAAGATTATCACTTAGGTCTGGCATTGTCTTGTCAGATGGGCAACTCAGTTTTGTGTTTTAAGATTTTGCTGATATGGCAGCCCGGTCAAATTCCTATCAGCATGGTTTTTTAATCCTATTTTTGAACCTCATGCAGAAATTGTACAATTAATGTACAGCAGGAAATGAAGCTGTGAGAAACTTACCTGTCTCACCAGCAAAACTGAACTGGCCAGGAATTTGTAAAACAAGCAGAAGTTGTGTACAAAGGTATGTGAATTCAAAGTCCCTTAATTTACACAGCTCCATCAATCCTATAGCACTATAGGGATGTCCTATAAACACTATAGGACTATTTACTTCTTTGCAGGACTGGTAAAATCACTGAAACACTGAAAGAAGTTTTCAGCTCCTTGAAACTGAAAGGATGTCCAAAGCTGCAGAAAGCACAAAAGAGGGAAAGCAGTGAAAGGAGAAAGACATTATTACAAACTAAGAAACTGAAAACATTTAATTTGCATGAATCAAAAAGATCTTCTTGGGGTTATGTGAATAGCAAACACATTTATACAAGATATGGAAAGAGGTTTATTTTGTATAGAGAAAAGAGAGGCAGAGACTATGAATCCAAAATTAAAGATGGAAAATTACTTGGACATTTAAAAGGGTGAGAGCAAGTGTTATCTTCTGCTTAGTTTATGATGTGTCCTTTTCCACGAGGGGCTAGTAATAGATTTGGTGAAAAGGCTTTGGCAAAAGAATAAACTACTTGATGCTTATGATTAGAGATTTAAGAAGTTAAAGACATAGAGGGATTAACAGGGAGGAACATTGTGTTGGTAAGTGAGCATTGCCAAAATCTTGTAAGGTTTCTCCCAACTCTGACATATTTTGCTTTGTGAATGTAATCGTCTTAAAGCATTAATTCTGCCTTCCATGCTCTTCTTATTAATTTAGGTAGCTATTGCAAGAGCTCTGTGAATGTCTGCTGAATTCCTGAAAATGTGATTCACTCCATGGAAGCACTATGCTAATAATATTTCATGCCCAGTATTGGTGAAGTTTTGGCATAGAACATCTGCTGTGCTTTCTGAAGCGTGACACCCACAGATCATCTGTTTCAACAGACCCAGATTATCACTAGTAGAGTTTTTAATAAGAGCCCTGTTACTGGGAAGCATCTGTACTCTTGCCTCCCTTCTAGCTGGAAACTTGAAAAAATGAGTTGTTGCTGCATCTGAAGTGCTGAAGAATGCCATACTACTGTCATGTTGCATCAGGGTCACTAATTGCTGGGCTATATTTTTGTAAATATTCCATGTATTTGTCTGTGTTTTCTGCTTAGAATTCTGGCAGACGAATACTACATCACAGAATTTTGTTGTAAGGCCAAGACACAAAAGAAGGAAAAGGCAGGTATGTGCCAATATGCTTGTTTATAAGGAACGTGCCATCAAGTTTGTTTCATGTCTGCTGAGTTAATTTGTCCAGATGGAGTCCTGCTGCTCCTGCTGATTTGGCATGAGATCTCTATATCAATACAGCTAATACAAAAAGGGGTATCTAGTGTAAGCTAAACATTGATGGGTTCTCTTGGACACTGCCTCCCTGAAGAATTAGGAAATTTTTAAATACTGCTATATGGCAAATGAAAAAGTAGATAAAATAAATTTGCTCATTTTGAGTGTAGTTTTATCAGAAACTCCCATAATAAAACCTATAGATTTTTTTATGTTGTACTAATGACAAGTAGCTATTTTATCTCACTTTATTTTGTTTCAAAATAAATATTCTAAACAGAGACTTCATTCTCTATTTATTAAAGTAGGGAAGCCACTAAGTGCAGATGTTTGTTACCAGTTACACTCTGTATTGTTAGACTCTAAGTTACATTCTCTCCATAGGTTCGTCAGATCCCACGTAAAGTTGAAGAGGAAACAAAATACATTGAGTTGATGATTGTAAATGATCATCTAATGGTAAGACTGACACATTTCAACATCTTACAATTAGAATCAAATTGTCTTAATTTATCCAGAGAACATAACAATAAAGAACAATAAAGAAATACATAACATAACAATTAAGAAATAAAGGCTGGAATAAATTAATTATGTTCTTAATAGAAGAAATTATGGTTTCATTAACCATTGATGAAGCTGGTTTGGAATTTTTGCAAGTTAATTTCACCAAGAATGCAACTAGACCTGAGGATCAGAAAGAAGGGTCAGAAATTAAAAAAATGTCAGTGTGACTTAAGCTCATGATTTTCTTTCTGTCTTTCCTGAGCATTTCTCTTAGCTACAGGCACTCAGCAATCCATAGTGCAGTTATTTCAATTGTGCAGCAGCTGGTGAGAATGGGGAGATTAACAGTGACCAGATTTTTTTTTTTATATGTCCCAATCAATGTAGAGAAAATGATTTTGTTAAACTTTTATACTTTCTCTGGGAGAATACAATGGGGTTTTTAACATGGTGGAAGACACAGAATAACAGTGTATTGAAGAAAAGCCAGACTCATTCAAGTGGGAAAAAAGACAGATTTATGTCAGTGAAGATGTTTTATTAAGCATTTAATGAAGGAAATATCAAAGGAAATGGCAAATTCTTCATCACTTGCAGTTTTCAAAGGTAGCTTCAAACACAATGGATTTCCTCTTGATGTAACTGGATAAAGTTCAGCCTGGCACTGCTCATACAACTGGTGACATTAGATGTTTTTAGGGTCCCTTATGGCCTTAAAATCAAAATATTTCTATAAATCTTGTCTACTTCTTCTGTAATGTGCAGCAATTCTCTCATGCAATACCCAAATTAGCAAAAATAGACATGAGAGCGTACAAGTGTACAAAAAGTGTGCCTCTGTCCTTAGACAGTGTACTCCTCCACCAGCTCAGTTTGGGGAACACAGGAATAAGTTCTTGGATTAAAATTAATAATTTTGGATGAAAATTCCTTAAATCAGTGTAACTGTGCTTGATCCTAAAGACCTGAAGCTACAACATTTCCTTTGGGATCTTCCTATCTGTTCAGGCATATTTTCTTCAAGGACAATGTTTCCTAATTTTGTCTAATTACAGCAAGAGTCAGTCCAATTAGGAGTTTATTCTCTGAGGTGAGTGCCAGTGATCAAAGAAGCCAAATAATTTCCTCCTGTGAGAAGGAAATATAATTTGCTGTGGGCTTAACTTTCTTGCTTTTGGTGGTTTCCCCCCCATTTCTGCTTGAAAGGATGCCTGTCCTATGCCCTAGCTGTGGAAAACTTTTTGCCCACTAAAAGATCCTAACTTCCAGAAAATATGGACAATTTTCATTCCAAAATCAAGCATCATGGGGCACAAAACATTTCTGAAAATCTTGTACACTTTCTCTTAAATTGTTCTGAGATACCTGTGACTTTCATGCCCATGATGCTCATTCATAACTGTTTTTTTTCTGCAAATAGGAGTACCTGGACAGCTATTTCTAGTGCCATTTTTATAACACTGCATTACAAATTTCAGTAAAGGTGCCATTGGAGTCTGATCACTGAAATGGTTTGAACCAGTTACTGTGACTTTATAGAGTGTGGAACTATACAAGAGGAAAACCAGAAAACAGCTTAAGAGAGAAAATTGCAACAAAAGGGAGTCTGATAGATTAGAACACAGATGCAGGCACTTTTGGGATAATACATCTTAAGGAGTCTCAGCTATGGAAATTTTTGTTGCTAATTTCTTCAATGGCATTTGTGATTAATTTTAAAATTGGCAACAATAATGATAATGAAGACAGTAACAGAATGTTACTGTTCTTATATAATTTTCCAGTAAATATTCTAGGGTATTTTCTAAAGAAGAATTCATACATCTTCACAACAGCTGTTGTAAAGTATATCAGTAATGTGCATTTCTGAGCAATTTTCTACTATTGGTTATGAACATTACACTCAACACAAGAGATAAAATCTTGTGCAGGGGCCTTATTGTTGATATAATTGCTTTGTACTTCATGGTGTTTTGGAAATGGACTTTGTTTTTCTGAGTCTGAACCCGTTACTGTCTGTGCTTTTTTCACAGTGTAAAAAGCACCGCTTGTCAGTCGGCCATACCAACAGCTATGCTAAATCAGTTGTGAACATGGCTGATTTGGTAAGTATCAATCAGCTATATGTTCTTTTACATGTGAGATGAGTCAGAAGATTCTCCTGATGATAGATGCAGGAGTTGTCAATTGATGGTGTAACAATAATGATGTATGTGAAGATTGCAAATTTTCATCTAGAACCATAATCATTCACCTCTAGAGGCTTTGTCTAACATAAAGCATCAGAGGGATTTTATTTTGTGGCTTTAAACATTTAAGTATCCTGCTAGATTGGTCCCTTGAGTCTGAGTTTTAAAGAGCACCTTAGATATGACAATTTCTAGCACAGGATCCCTGTTTTGACAACTTTAAACCCAAAAGACAATCTGAAATTTTAATGCATTAAAATTTCTCCAAAAAAAGTGCACTTGAATAAATAAATTAGAATAGGGACATACAGGTGAACTATGTGGATTGTATTTATATGATAAATCAGACGAGCTGCTGGCTCTTGCACCTCCCCACAGCAAAGTATTAGAAAAAGAAAAGTATTCCTAGAAGAAGAAAATGCTTGAAAGTATTTGGTGTAGAGTGTTAACACAGCGTTGAAGGGATGTCTCTTTTTTTGTGATTCAGCCAGCAGGAGTTGAAATACTCCTGTAGACATATATAACAGAGAAAAGTTATGGCTTTATAGATCATTATTCCTCATAAAAGGGCCCTTGTGTGTCATTGTATGAGCTGGCTGTTATAAAAGACCCGTTAAATTCAAATCTTTGAACTATTTTGAATGTAATAATTTTTCAAAAATCACATTTTTCTTCTATGTACTTCTATCTGTGTAGGCCAAGAGAACTTATTGAAAAATTAAGCCTAAAATTTTGCTTTTACCTGGTTTTTATGTTATGTTTTAAGGGAGATAAAATCACCTACAAGAATGCAAAATGTGCTAGAATAAGCTAAATATTTAGTTATGTAAAAATGCAAGCTATTAAAAAAAGGGGTAAACCTCATCTTTGTTCTATTTGACATAATATATTTGTTCATTCTGTTAATGTACTAGATATATAAAGAACAACTTAACACCAGGATAGTATTGGTTGCCATGGAAACCTGGGCTACTGATAACAAGTTCACCATATCTGAAAACCCCTTGGTGACTCTACGTGAGTTTATGAAATATAGGAGGGATTTTATCAGAGAGAAAAGTGACGCAGTTCACCTTTTTTCGTACGTAACCTTGTGTGATGTTATATTACTGGGGTTTTTTCTTTCCTTGGGGGTTGCTTCTCACAAGTGGCTGATGCATCTCCTTTCTGTTGTGTGCGTAATCCACAATAATTCAGAAAATAAAGTTTCAGATGGGGAGGTGGGAAAAAAATTAATTCACAATCTGCCTGCCACTGCAACTAGAGGTTTGACTCTTATTTTAGTTTTAACATACTAAGCCTGAGCTGCATGTGCTGTAATCCTTTGTTATTCTGTGCAACCACCTACTCCACAAGTGCAGCTATCTGAATGGTTCCACCTCAGAGGTTGACTTCTTCAGCAGTAGAGCATGGATTATTTAAAGGCAGAACATTTGTTTTGAAACCAATGAGGTTTTCTGCTGAAGTGCACTATGGCCTGTTTTACTTTGTTGAATGACCTGCATGCTGCAGGATTACTGAAGTGTTTCAGATCCTCAAAACAGTTTGTTCTCCCAAGACATTTGAGCTATAAGAATACTAAACTGAGAAGAATGTTATTTTCTCTAAGTACCTTAATTGTTTTGAAAATAAGATTGATATAATAAAATATATGTACAAAAATAGAGGAGAGATATGTGGCTGAGATTTTCGATCCATACTCAACATGCCAGATGAATATCTCTGTTGGAGTCCTTTTTTCTCTCTGCTGACTGTTTTAGGAGACTGTAAGAATAAACTTAACCTAAACACCTCACTTCCCATGACTTCAGTAGGGTTCCAGGATACCCAAGCCTGGTATCCACCCTCAGAATTTTTGCATGTACCTAATTGCTGCCACTGATTTCTGCCTTTAAGAAAGCTAGTTAGATCTGCAGAGTGATGCTTGCAGATTTTGGTTTCTCTGTGTCTCAGATCCTCATCTCTTAAATGGGAATCAGGTTTTCTCATATCCTTTTTGTAATTTCTCTGGTGACATTGTAAATTCTTTGAGGGGGAAGTCTGGTTCTTGTGAATGTGTGTGTATTGACTAGGACAAAAGAAAGTCTGATTTGGCCTGTGGTTGGGACTCTGGATACCACTGTAATGCTAATTCCAGTGCTATCCATAGCACCACCACCAGTGGTTATTGTGGTATTGCATTCATAGATGGTTTGGAAACAGCAGTTTCTGAAATTGTGTCTGTGAGTGAAACACAGCTAAGCTGGGAGGGGGGGTAGCTGTGTGATGGTAGAGTGGTTACAAATGAGCTTCCACAGTTAGCCCACTGTGACCCTTCTTGATATTTTTCTCCTCTCACCTGAGAAAAACAATTTGCCGGATGATCAGTACTGCCAGGTGGAGCAGAGTATATTTTGTCTCCAGTAACTGGCAGTCATTCATGCTGGTGTGGTCAGCACCAAAGAGATTATTAGATTTAGGCTTGGAGTACATCTGCTCCTTGGATGAGATTGGCAGTAATTCCAGGGAGTTTTCAGCTACCTCTGCATCTTCTGCTAATGCCTCTCCCCTTGAGTTTTACCACATCAGCACTGCCCAATTAGACAGGTGTTGTTTCACTAGTCCCGTGCATTGGGGGCATGGTGGCCTCTCCTGAACTCTGCCTGAAGCATGTGCCAGCAGAAAGCACTCACTGCAGTAGAATGTCAAGAAACAAGAGGCTGGGCAGATCCAGATGGTTTGGCAAAATAGTCCCCTTCTTCCTATATTAGGTATTCTGAAAAGGAGGAGGGAAGATGGTATAAGTTTTCTGGAGATAACCTGTCATGTGAGGTTTGTGAGTGGTTATCTGTTTTTCCCATTTGTTTTTGCATAATTTGCAGTGTAGTGGTGGCATCCAGCATTTGCAAATGCCATTTGGAAATCACAAGGGAGATACTGGAATAGGCAGGTGCAAAACTCATGGACTGAGCAGGGTAAACTTCTTTTTCTTTTTGTTTTCATCAAAGGGGGAGTCGATTTCAGAGCAGTCGAAGTGGTGTAGCCCACACTGGGGGAATCTGCTCCTTGCTTAAAGGCGGAGGTGTGAATGAGGTAGGTGGGCATACTGGTATGAACAAAAAGTGGTGAAAATTTATCTGCAGGGAATTTATTAGTGCAGACATGTTCCTCAAAATATTTTGCTTTTTTGCTGATGGAGACTCTTACTGCAGCTCTATAGAAGGGACACTTTGATGAAGAGTGATGAGTGAATAAAGTCAATACACTTCAAATTTTAAGCAAATTCTGCAATATCCTGTCATTCATATTTCTAGCCAGAGTGCCAAGAGAGAAACAGACTTTCTCTTACTTAGCTTGTCTATAAGCCAGTGTTTAATTTTCATCTAGCTACCCTGCAGTAAGAATTCTAAGGCTGTGTATCTGATTTTGCATTTTTTGCCTTGATATGAAAAAAGCTTCACTTGAATCAGAGATACCTGTGTGTTACTGATTACTTTCCCCACCTTGCTTGTTTCTTTCAGTTTGGAAAGCCGGACTTAATGGCAGTTACCCTGGCACAGACCTTGGCCCAAAATATTGGCATTTTCTCAGACAGAAGAAAACTTCTAAGTGGTAATTTTACTTGCTTTTCCACTTTGTCTCAAGAGAAAAATCTTAAAAGGTGGAGGATCTTATCAGTGTCTTTCTGATATATACTTTTTCCTTCCATTTCTCACAATATTGAAATATTTTTATTTCTTGCAGTAACATGAGAAGGGTCTGACATACTAACTTTTCTTTACTTGAATGCTCTAGTATACCCCTGCTTCTAATTCCTGATAGCACTGGTGTCACCATTTCATCCAAAATAGACCATAAAGGTGCCTGCCACTCCCATTCATTTCAGGGAGACTGGTGTCCCACCCACAGACCAAATGGCTGCCATCTTATGACACAAGGGTGGGAATATACATTATTAGATCAGGGTATAATGAGGAGCCTCCTCAGTACTGTTATATACAACAGTTCAAACAATACAATTTATTATCTGTTTTCCTCGATTGATTTCCTCTTATAGATTACCCAAATCTCCTGTTTCTCCTGTAGATTACCCAAATATCCAGTACTTGCTACCCTACTGCTACCATTTCTCTGCTGTAACTTTTGTATTCAGCTCCTTAGTTATCCCTGTTTACCTGCAATGCTTTGATCTCCACCATTGTGCCCACAACAAGCAGCTGGCCTTCCTGCTTCCATGTTATATGAAGTCCCAGCCTGATATGATTAAAATAAAAATACAGTTATGAAACAATTTAGATAATTAACTGGAGTGTGGACTTACTGGATTGGGTGTGCTTATGTGACCTGCATTTTAAAAGATAAATTACTCTATTGATTAGTGGATTTTTTTTTCAGGCATTGTAAAGACAATATATAATGCAGAGAGACAGCTGCATTTAAAGGGGTTTTGTGCAGATTATGCAATACCATTTTTTAAAATATTCAGAAATGTAGGACCGATGCTCTATCCTACAGGCATGTTCAGTATTCATTTTCCAGCCACATATCTTTGAGTGGAGTTAAGGGCAGGGTAAAAGTGAAGATTATAATAGTGGTGACTGCCTTTCTTTGTGGCTGAGAAGGGCAGGACACTGTTTTGGTAGGGAGAGAGGAGAATGCAGTTGTCAGACACAGCTTTGTTTCCTTTCTAATTGTACTTTTAAAGTGGAAGCAATAAACGGATGTTCATGTGTACAGTAAAAGAAATTATGGAATGTGCAAGTGGAAAACATTTCTACTGAGATTAAAGCAAGACACAGCTTTGAGAGAGGAGGATTGAGACCAGAGCAAAGTGATCCCAGCTGGCAGGGCAGAAGGGAGTTTCATGGGGAAGGGAGGCAGGCAGGGAAGGGAGGGAGAGCAGAGGAAGAAGCTGATAGATCCTGCTGTACTACCTTGTGTTCATTGATCATTCCATGCTTCTTTTTGGTCTGAATTATTGTTTGGGGTTTTCCAAGGGAAGATTTTCAATCATGTTACCACAGTCAAAGAAGAGAACTAAAAAAAAAAAAAAAGTAAAATGATTCTTTTTTATTAACTCTGAAAGTTTGGGAAATGAGTATCATCACACAGGGGATGAGAAAGCTGACTCATGATTTGCAACTGCAGAAGGCTAACACTGCAGTTTCCTTTAAGAGAAGGAAAGAAAAACAGGACATATTTTCAAAGCTCAGGATTGCACAGAATCCTGTAGAGCTTTTAAAAATTTTGGCAAGGTGCACTGATACACTTAAACTAAGGTGTGCAATAAACCAGCAAATTATTCTTTCCAACCTGTCTGGAAACATGAAATGGAATTGAGTACAGTGAGCTTTTTATGATAAGAATTGTATTATTTTGGACTCACAAGACTCAAGATGTAACTTCTTATTTTATCTTTTTTTTTTTTGTCAGGTGAATGTAAGTGTGAGGACATGTGGTCTGGATGCATAATGGGAGATATGGGGTAAGACATTTCACTAGAGAATAGTCATGTTTTACATACAGTGACATATAGGAAAGGTGTGAAAAGTTTTCTCTTTTGTGGTTCAGCAGAATATTTTTGATGACTCACTTTTCAGAAAGTAAAGTTTTAGGTATATACCATACAGAAACACCTTCAAAGAAATGTGGGAATGAGTGAGTTCATGAGAAGGGCATGTGAGAATTTTTGGTGAATGCTGATTTAACTTGGAAAGCACAAGGCTCAACAGCCAAGTCAGGTCATTGCAGAGAAGCAGAAGCAGGCATAGCTTATTTTCTCAGGGAAGATTGCTATGGAGTTGTAGAAACAATGACACACCCTAATTCTTGAAATCCTATAATCAAATTTCTGAGGCATGCCTCATTTTCAGTGTTTTTGTTGGAATCTTTTGTCTATCTCTATAATTTTTTATTGCACAGTTTGTGTGATATTGTTAGAAAAACTGCCCCCATTGGAGGCTGAATATGTTCATACCCATGTGTAGTGTCACTGGGGGGATTTTAACATAATGACTGGTGAATCAGCAAATTTTTGCTGCTGGATGAAATTTGATGCTTTCTGAAGTATATTCAGACCCCTAGCACTTTTTATTACAGGCCTGTCTTTTATCATGCATATGAATTACATTTTAGTGTAGTTTTAGATATGAATTACATTGTATTCTAGTTTTAGATATAGACAGGGCTCAGTTTTTAATTAATTTTGAATGGATCCAAAAATTTTCACAATAGCTTTGTGGTCAGAAAAATTTTGAGCAAAGATGTATGTCTCATTCAAGCCTCTTTAAAAGTGTGAATGTGTGCCCTTTTCATCTTAGAATACCTGAAAACACGTCTGGTAGGACTTTTCTGATTTTTGGCAAGTTAAAAAGCCAGTCTGAGAGGTGTTTTTGATTCTTATAAAAGTTATAAATTCCCATGTTTGGGTCTTTAAATTCTTTATCTGAAGTTCAAACCTTTCACATAATTTGGTACATAAAAAAGCCTTGTATTTACCTAGCTTATTGCTGAACTTCAATGAAACCCACAGCCTCTCTAGTGTTTAGACCAAATTCATGAGCATTACAGATGGAAAAAGCCAATTATGTTTTGGAAGCTATCTCTCCCAGCAGTAGGGGATAGCACTTTGGCTAATATTTTTATATCCAGTGGTGAGCTGATAGAGGAAAGCCCTCGAGACTCCAAAATCTCCTTGAAGCATAAGTACTTTCATGGCTATGGACCTGAATATAAAGATCACTGCTGTTGCCTTGGGAAAAGTTATTTCCTTGTGAAAAGGATCCATGCAAAGATTCTCTGCATCACATTGTTTTTAGGTGAGGCACAGTGCCTCAGGGGCACTCTGTACTCAATTGAAGTTTACTGAGTGGGACACATGACACAGAGGGAAGCTGAAATGTTAGGTGGTGTTTGCTAGAAGCATGTTTAAAATGGCATAACTCTGTGGGTCAGGGGATCCATTTCCTCCTAGAGAGAAACAAACTATAAGCTGTCTTTTTCTCCTGCAGTTTGTATGGGAGGAAATAAATGTATTTCTGAGATCAGGCCTGTTAGTGGAACAAGTCATGCTTGTGTTAACTACACACTGTAATCAGATTTGTGCTGTTTGGCATGTAAAAACTTACTGAAATGTTCTAGACTTCTCACATTCCATGAGCTTTGTGTCATTGTTGAAATTTCCTTGTTATTTACTGGAAGGATTTTCAAATAGAAAGAAATAGAATAGTCAGATAGACTTACAAACAGATAGTCACTCTGATTCTGAACAGCATTGTTTTCATTCTTTTTCTGAAGGATAACATTATATTTCTTCTGTTTTGAAAAAAGAAAATACAGTGTAAAAGCACTGGAGAAAGTAATCCTTCTACCTTATTTTGTTAGGTACTATCTTCCAAGCAAGTTCTCCGAGTGTGATATTGAAGAGTATCATGAATTTTTAAACAATGGAGGTGGAGCCTGCCTTTTCAATAAACCAACCAAAGTAAGCATTACATTAATGTTTAATATTATTTCTATTCTATTGCTAATTTTGATGAAACCAAGACGAATGAAAATTATAATGTTGGAAAAAAACCCTTTAGTTTTGATAGTTCTGGTTCTCTCTAAATTCTAACTATTCTGGTAACATATTCTAACTATTCTGGTAAGTATTATTTTAGTTCATAGTAGTTTAGAAATTACTTTTAAATTGATTTCTAATAAAGTGGTTTCATGTCCAATAGAGAATCAACAGCCTCTGATCGAGAATTATCCCTCACACAATTTGTTCTGAATATTGTGAATACAACACAATTTTGTATTTACAACAGGTCTGCAATGTAGGATTTGCAGCAATGTTCCAGTATATTCTTGCTCCATTTACTGAAGCATGTGTTAAAATGTAAAGCAAGCAGGATAATGATTTTGACTCTTTTCTATATATAATTAATGTTAACCTGTATTTAATGGCTGTCTTTCAACAAGCAAAGGAAAAGAGGTTAAGGCAGAAAGACAGTTCAATGTGGAAAAAAGACTTATCTGGTAACTGAAGTGGTCACAGATGTAAAAGATAAGAAAGTTCAATTCAGGAGTGATGCATGTTCCTTCTGGTGAACATGAGAAAAAGTGCATCTTCTGACAACCACAGAATTTCAATAAAACTTAAAGAAGGAAAGAGAAAACATGAAATCTGGGCAAGCTGAGCCTGCTTATCTCTTAAAGGTCTCTTTTGATGAAAGAGTATATTATTAAAAGTGGAGAGAAAGCACTGTACTTCTTTAATAAGATGTAAAATGTACCTGAGTTTTAGAAGTTTGCTTTTTTCCATCCCATTAAAGGTGGAGAAATACTGGAGGATGTATTTACTTGCTGAGTGTATTGTTTATATAGTGTGATGTGTCTTACTTGGTTTTATTTTAGTGATTGTGTTCATTTACACATCTGTCAGTTGGAAAAAACCCCAATTACTCTCCTTTCAATTTAGTTTGGCAGCACTTTAGGGTTTTTTTTTTTTTTTTGATAGCATGCAGAAATGTGAGTTGGATGTGGAAGCCAGGGTGATTTAGTCTCTTTTATGCATCGTGGTTTGGGTTGGCTTAAAGGTTTTGTCAATGGATGTCTGTCTAATTAACAATGCTGTCAAAGATGTGTTTCCTAGCAAGGGTGGTTAGACACAAACTTGTTTTTGTATTTCAAGCATTATGAGATAAAGGAAAGCTAATGTGACAAGGTGCAGTGTTTGGCAGTGCTCCACTCTTAGATCAGCTATAATCCCAAGAATTACATCAATGGCTGCTGGAGCAGATTGAACATATGCTCTTTTCAAATGAATGGATGAATGATATGACTTTGGGGGAAGGTTATCCAATTTGCTTTTAATGTTTGGGTTTTTTCCTTCAGTTTCATTTTTAGCTGTCCCTATGTACTGCAGCAAATTGGCCCAATATTTCAAGGCAGAATTCTCTGTCGCTGCTGTCTCTTTGTCTCTGTTGTGCAGCACACCGAGACATATTGAAGAAGTTAAGCTGTCTGGAAAAATACATAGGAAACAAGCAGTTTTAATAACTCTTTAATAATTCTAAAAGCTTGCATACATTTTATGTTACCTTCTACATATGCACTGAATGCTGCAGTCAAATTTCCATTTCAATAGGGGATGTAATAATAACATATCAGCCTGTGCCAGGCTGTGGTTGGTGGCACAGTGAAGTTGGTGGGGTGATGCTCCATCCTGTGGGCTCCTGGCAGAAAGGCAGCAGCCTCTGAGAAATGCTCTACACCATGTACGATGCTGTGCTTGTGCAGATGGCTCAGGAGCAGAGTGATTTTTGGAATGGTCCTAGTTTAATTGGAGAACTCGAAGGCTGAGCTGCAAAATTTTAGTCTGGTGACACACTTAAATGGCTTCTCATTTATGTAAGAAAAGCTACTATTATGTTTTCCTATGTCCAAAGGAAAAAAAATTATTTGCTTTTAGAAGAACTACCTTTAAAAGTTATAGGAAGACAGGAAAAATTAAACTGGAACGAACAGAATATCAGTGTCCCTTAGAAGAGGTTATGGCATACAAATATAAAGATTTTGATCTTTTAAGTTACAGTCCACTGGGAAGGCTGAAAGGAAAGGGAGAAAGCCTCATCAGGAATACTCCCTGTGCACATCTGCCTGTGTGTAATACATACTTACAGAAATCTGGGAAAAGTTCACAACTGTGGTAGAGGTGTGGTAGAGGAAAATGGAAAGAAAAATCCAACTGCAACAAAAACTGACAAAGAAACTGAGCATCTCCCCTTCCCAGGCATTTCTGAGCCACATAAAAGGACTACTTCTTATGGCTACTACTTCTGAATTTGCAGTGCAGGCTTTAACCTTTCACTTGAACTCCAGAACAACAGCAATTGCAACAGCTATGAAGATAATGAAATTGTCATATCCTTAATTTTTTCCCCTATATTGTCATACTTTTTATTTTTCATTGTAACTTCTGCTCAAACTGAATTTACTGTAAAGCTGACATCTATGCACAGAAGATACCATGTGAGTTGGCAGCATTGCTGTATTAATTTTCAGGAGTGCTCATTCTCTGTATGCTTCACTTGTGTTGTGTTACTCTGTGTCTCCCTGATTCATGGAAACTATTTTTCAGTTAATCCATTTGGAGTGCTAGCTTAAAAACCATGTTGCACAGAGCAAATATGACAATGATTCCCATAAAAGAGACATGCCCTTTGATTTCTGAATTTCCATGCAGCTTCTGGATCCTCCAGAGTGTGGCAATGGCTTTGTGGAAGATGGAGAGGAATGTGACTGTGGGACAATAGCGGTAAGTGCAATGTACTTTAAATTAGCAGCTAGATTTGTCTGAGAGTTGGTGCTGCACATTGCTGCTGTTAACAATAAGTGGAGGAAGACAAGCAGGGTGAAGGTCATGTGCCCAAGGATTCATAGTAATAGCTGGCTGTGCAAAATCAAGCCTTCAAAGGCATGAAAGAAAGCATTTTCCTAGATGGAAACACTCGTCAGTGCTAAGATGCTAGTATTTAATGGCAATATGAACTTGGAAACATTATTTTCTATCATGCACAGGAAGCAGCAGTTTCATGCTTCACAAGTCTTTTGCTCCACAAATGCCTTTTTCTGCCTCTAGGTAGCTAAAAGAATGAATAAAAATCCATTCAGATAGCCTGCTAAGATGAGAAGCATTAAGAGCTTGGGGTTCATGTCCTTCCCCATGTATTTTGTTTTGTGTGTGTGTGTGTTCCCAGGAGTGTGCCAGTGAAGGAGGAGAGTGCTGCAATACCTGCACCCTGACCGCGGGCTCCCAGTGCAGCAACGGGCTCTGCTGTCGGAAGTGCCGGGTAAGGACAGTGACCTTCACAACCTGCTGGGAATGCATCCTGGTGGCTGCAGGCACTACAGCACACGGATTTTCCCTTGCAGACCTTGTGATTACTCTTCTAAAAGCTTACCTTTTAAACCTGGCTGAAATCTGATTTTTCTGAGGCTGTACTCTGTCTTTTAGGCTTGGCTTTTTGGGGCAGGGACTGTCATCAAATGCTGAGGTAAATTGAATCCTTCCAGTTTCAGACAAGTTTGAATCAGGTTGAAGTTCTATGAGATCTTATTAGACATCTTTGCTGAAGGGATAAATTAATCATAAAGGTTTTGTTAGATGTCCTTATTTTTTCACTGTGAGGATGGTGAGGCACTGGAACAAGTTGCCTAAAGAAGCTGTGGATGCCCCATCCCTGGGAGTGATCAAGGCCAGGTTGGATGGGTCTTTTGAGCAAGTAGAGGGTATTCCAGCCCATGGCAGTGGTGCTGGAGCTAGATGATCTTTAAGGTCCCTCACAACCCCAACCATTCTGTCACTCTGTGAACAAGCACATCCTTATCCAGGTGACACTCCCAATGCCATATGTGCTGCTCTGGGTTTGCCCCATGAAACTGAATGGGAAAATCATACTGCAGAGTGTCTGAGGGAAGGATAGAGTAAAAAACACAAAAGCACAGCCAGCAGAATTAGTCAGAAGGATTTGCCTAAAAGACACCTGACTTCAGTTTCAGTTTGGTCTGCCTGTGTCTCATGTTTGAACTGACTGAAATCCCATTGAGTAAAGGAAATCAAGCCCTGTGTAAACTGTAAGTTATTCTTCTTGATACATCAGTAAATAGTAAAAGGAGGTTTAGCCAGATTGTGGCTGTAAGGGAGCCCTGTTAAACGTGACTTCAAATGGTTGTTTGTATTCATTTAGTAATAAAGATAATTAGTATTAATGTAGTTAAAACTGTGGTGTACTATGTGTGATATTTTTATCTTTGTCTCTGCACATTTGAGGGTTTCATTCCCTTAGGAGGATCATTAATAATAACTGTGGATCACATTCTTGACTTTGTGCTCATCCTAATGTTAAAAAAAGAAAAAGCACAGATTATGCTGGAGCAGATCACATTTCCCTAAGCACATTCCCTTTTTAAATGTAATAATAATAAAAATAATCAGCAGATTGCCAGTGTGGGTAAATTTTGCTCAAGAATCCAAGTCACATAGGCACCATATTAAAGACTACCAGAACAAAACAAAGCTTTTGTATACCTACCTTATTTTTTTGCAAATGACAGAAGGGTTTATCTCCTTTCAGAATGGCAAGGGTGAGTGAATGAACAGAAAAGTAGGATTTTACTAGTGTGTTTATCAGGACAACTCAAAAGACTATATAATAGCTTCAAAACTTGGGGTTACATTCCCCTGTAATATCCTGCCTGAAAGCAGGAGTGAAGGAGGGGTTGCAAGCAATACATGGTGATTATACATCCCAGAATCCTGTAGTGTCTCTGACAACATTTGTGCTGTTCACACCAGCTTGGAGATAGCAGATGTCCCCTGAAAATGTATGTGCATGCAGATCTCAAAAAAAAAAAAAAAAAAAAATCATGAGCCTGCAAAATGAACTGTGTATCAAAGTCTTAAGAAAACTCTGAGGAAAAATAAGGAGTCTGTAATATGTCCATATCCAGAAACACTAACAATTGCCTAAATGCAATGGCTTCCTTCTTTTCCAGGTCCTGAGACTTAGCACATAATTCTTTAGCCAAAATGTCTATATTAGGTCACTGGTACACTTTTCATTGTTAAATATCCAGTCCCTTAGAAAAGAGTGTCAAACTGTACAGAATTCAGTACATTTATTAATAGTTCCTGTTCTGCAGCAACAATGGGGGATTAAAATAACCAAAGTGTTTATATGTGGTGTTTTTCATCCCTAGAGAGAAGATCAGGATGACTTCTTCTGTTCTGTAAAGAAAAGCAATATAGTCACAAAAAGACACAGTGACCTGGTTTAGGGCAAACTTGGGAGAGAACTTCCAAAGGGTTCCTCTAGAAAGCAGATTCAGTTGATCCCTCCCCCAACCAGTTCGGGAAAAATATTTCCTTGGAGAAAAGTGGAAAAATGAGTGATGCTGCCAGCCACTGGAGTATTGGTTTGGACACCCCAAGGGTCCACTGTCCCAGGAGAGACTTCTCCTGCTGAGCCCCATAATCTGTGCCTTTTGGAGGGGGTGCCTCAGAGAGTGGCACCACTTGCACCAGTAAATGGCTTGAGTGGTGCAGCATACACACCAGGGAAAGGAGACTCTTCCCACTTCAGTCAGCACGTGAATATTTCCCATTTTTTATTTTAGATAAAACTGTAAGGAAGCATTGCATTTAAGGCAAGATATGGAGAAACCAAGACACTAATTTTCTGTGCTTTTTTCCCCCAGTTTGAACCTAAAGGAGTTTTGTGTCGAGAAGCAGTGAATGATTGTGATATTGCAGAGAACTGCACAGGAAATTCCAGCCAGGTGATTTTTGTGTCTTCTATTCATGAAACAAAAAAGCCCCACCTGTAATCTCAAAATCACTATGAATGTTTTGTATGGTATGGTGCATAAAAATTGTGTTTAATCTGTTGATGTTTAAAAAACCAGAATGATACTGAAATGGTTTTACATATTACTTTTGTTGTATACTTTGCTTTCGTGCTTGTCTGATCTATGATCTATTACTTATTTTCTCTTTCTATAGTGTTCTCCTAATATCCATAAAATGGATGGATATTCGTGTGATAACAGACAGGTAATTAGGACTTCAGTTTGTTTTACATTCTTTCTGCTGTTGTAGATTGCTTTTTATGGATTTTGTTTTAGGATCTTTGGAAGTCACCTGGGACAGTTCTGCTAAGATTCATGACTTTTAGATGCTAGTCATGTTTTTAATGAAAAGAAGATAGAACCACATATTCTTTGCCCAAATATAAAGCGTGTGACTAATCTTTGCATTATAGAAATACATATGTTGGAAAATCAAGTAATTTGAAATATTTTCTGTACTTTTTTTTCTTTCTTTCTAGGGTATTTGCTTTGGAGGAAGATGTAAAACCAGGGATCGGCAATGTAAATATATCTGGGGTGAAAGTAAGTGAATGTTCTGTTTCTAAGTTGGTTGTCATGCATGTGACATGAAAGACTATCTTAGCTAAGAAAAATTATGGAAGAGACAGACTGAGAACCATTGAAAACATCTAGAACAGTATGTCTCTCCCTTTCTTTCCCCTGTCCTTTTGTCTTTCCATCCTCCTTTCCAGCTCTTTATGTAGTGTTGGTTCACTTACTGGTGACTGAAAACTGAAACTTTATTTCTCGTTAATAACCATCTAGGAAGCCTGTACTCATGTTCATTAGTTTATTTCAGTGGGGACATTTTGACCAATAAACTCTCATCAATCTGAACAAAATTTATCAAAAGTCCCGTTGTGGCATCATAAAGCTTTTAACTGAGAAGAGCACTGTGCAGAGTTTCATGGGCCACCTGCAGATCACGGTGTGTCAGTTCACAAACTGGGAAACTCTGCTTGCTTTGATTGTGTATCCCCATTTCTCAGGACATGGCTTTTCAAAGTCAACATCTTAGAAGAGATTTGTTTCTGTTTTTAGAAGTGACGGCTGCTGACAGGTACTGCTATGAGAAGCTGAATATTGAGGGGACTGAGAAAGGAAACTGTGGAAGAGACAAGGACTCTTGGGTACAGTGCAACAAACAGTAAGTTGATTCATTTAGAAAGCTACTAGAATGAGGTTCTTACCCCTGATCCAGTTTTTAGCTGGCATGAAGAGACTCAAAAAACCTCTCTACAGATCAGATTTCTGGTCTTCTTCTGCAGACCTTTGTGCAAGAAGTCCTGGAGGGAGTAGGGTGGCAAGAAGAGATGATTCCTGACAAGAAAGCACCATCTGAGCTTGGGAGAGCTTGGACTAAAAATGGTCCTAGTACTCAGTGAGGGTTAGCACTGCAGAGGAGAGCAGCCTTTGGTTTCACATCTTGGTGTGGTGTTCACTTTTTATGCTGTGCCACTGCATTGCTATATTTTGCTCAATTTCATGGTAACTTTCCAAGTACATTCCTGCAAGTCACTGCCTAAAGCATTATTTCACATTCTGCATATGCAGTTGATTATTTCTGCCAATTTCTGGACCTCTCACCTGTCCTTATCAAACTGTTTTTTCAAATTTCTCTTTTCTGTCCATGACATTTGATTTCTAGTTCTGCCTACAGGTGAACTATTGTTCTTTCCCACTTTTTAAACTCAGATTTTGTGACCTTACTTCTGTCGTATTACAAATTCATAAGTAAAAAATATTCAGTAATATGGGAGATGTCAGACCCTTCTATTCTGTCAGTGCAAAAGTCTCCACACGAGTAGTGAAGTCCCTTCAGCAGTTGAATTAAATTTGGTGTCTACAGTTCCCCCACATATGTGTCCTATGAGAGTGTATTTAGAACCAGTATCTACTGTTGCTCCTCTATGGACCAGTTACTTTATCTTAATAGATCATTAAATCAATTTGATGTGGTTTGTTCTTGACAGCTCCTTGCTTGTTATTACTCAGGGGATTTTTGATAATGTGCTATAAAAACAGAGTTTTCCAAATCTATCTTACAAGGGAAGAATTTTCTTTGGAAACAGCATTATTTATCGGAATTATTGTCAGTGGGAGAAAAGCAAAGAATAACACATAGGTTACCAAGCAAGTGGTCATAGTTTTGCTTGTCCATTTTCATTGAATTTTATTTTTTATGAATATCTGTTTATTCTTTCAATGCAGGGATGTGCTTTGTGGGTACCTTCTGTGCTCCAATATATCCAGTGTGCCCAGACTTGGAGAACTTGATGGCGAAATCACAACATCAGTCTTGCACTATGGAAAAGTCTACAATTGCAGGTAATTGGAAATCCTGAAAACAGAACAAACAATATCCATCTTGCACAGAAAAGCAGCTTTCTCATTCTTAAATGGAGAAAAACTGTTTCCTTTTTTTTTTCCTATTAACACATAACCATTATTGCAGTTCAACCTTTGTTAAGCTTCAGAAAATTAACTGCCTGTAGGGCAGTTTTGTAGTCCCCTCAGTAGTTAATTTTGCCTTTAGAGACATAATGCTCTTCTCAGGCCCTGTGCTTTTACATTCTTTAATATTTGCCAAGTACTTCATTAATCCAGAATACTTACAGATATGCCTGCGCTGCCAAAGTTAACTGGTAGCCTAATTCATTGCTATATTGTAGCTGAATTCTAATTATAGATGTGGTATGTTCTGATAGCTTCACACAACTGTGAGATGAAATGATGTCCTAACAAGTAAACTGAGTTTTCTCTAACTCAAGCTGTTTCACAGAAAAATGGTCCTTGTGTTCATGATTTCATGTTTGATGTAGATACACTGGTTAGGTTTGTTTCAGGCCCAGTGAGGTCACTGATCCAGTACTCACTCATACCTGCTCCTGGGCATTGTGCAGCACAGAAATGCAGGCAGCAGCCCTGGGCCCAGTTTCTCAAGCAGCCCCATCTAACCACAGCAGAGGTCTCCAAGGTGCTCTTGACTGTCTTGCAGTGGTGGCCACGTGAAGCTCGATGAGGACACGGACCTGGGCTACGTGGAGAACGGGACGCCGTGTGGGCCGGACATGGTGTGCCTGGACCATCGCTGCCTCCCCACCGAGGCCTTCAACTTCAGCACCTGCCCAGGCACCACCGACAGCCAGATTTGTTCAGGACACGGGGTAGGTTCTTGCCCTCTTCACTGCTTTTTCTGAGTACCTGGCCTTGTGTAGTCTACTAGCTGGACCTTTCAGGAAGGTCAGTGTGACTCTAGATGTCATACAACTGGAGAAGTTTTTGAAAACGAAAAGGGAAGGAGGCACATAACTAAATATAATGCATTCCAGTCCAGGCATCTTAAATAATGAGTCATAGTTAGTATGTATTAGTTTTACAGAGTTTTATCAATCAATGTTTTTGCTCACTTTTGCTAACTTGATTGATATTTCCTCAGGCAGTTTGCTGGAGAATAAATACAAAGGTTTTACGAACTGAGAAACTTGGGTCTCTGTTCTTCCAGAGACCTGTTCTTTTTAATTCCCTCTTTATTACATAAATAGCCAATAAGATTCATAAAGTTGTTGATGATGTTGGATTTTGTGGGCTGAGAGCTCCTTTACTCTGGAAAAGAGGGCAGAGAGCTGGCTCTTGGCAGTTTCTCTGCTCGGTGTGCAGTCTGTGGCTTTGCCGTGGCCGTGGGGAGCCCCCTTGTCCCTCACACAGTTTGACACAACGTCCAGGGCCCTGTGACTGAGCTGAGATCAGGGAAGTTGTTCTCTCATAATGTCTTTTGTTTTGTACACTGCATTAAAACTTCCTTATTTATCTGAAATCATGCACTTCATCATGTTTTGAAAAAAAAAAAGTCATTAAGGTCAGTCTCCTAATGCAATTATAAATGCTTCTGTAAATATAGATTATGTTAAAGTATGTACTGAATAAACATTGCATCAATTTATATAAAACGTAATAGCACATTTCATTCATTTATACCTAACATAAATTAAAAATTACTATATATTAAAAATTATTTTGCAAAATTTTGTGAGCAGTAAAATTAGGGCTTTATCGCTGTACCTATACTTGAGGTATTAATTACGGGAATGGATGAATAATCTGATTTTTTTCTGAGCTACACTTTTGACTGCAGGTTTGTAGCAATGAAATAAAATGCGTCTGTGACCGATTTTGGGGAGGAGATGACTGCAGTGCTCATATCAAAGATGATCTATTTTTTGATAAGGATGCCATCAATAAAGGTATGTTGTTGTAATTTTTACCAGCTATTGAAAATGCTTGGATTTGAAGAAAGTTCATTAAGCAAAACTAGGTCTCCTACTCTTTCAGCTAGTACACAACATGCTGCAGAACCAGGAGCCTCATTCCCCTCTCTCCTCCCACAGCAAAAGCACTGTAAAGTATAAAAGAAGTCTGTAAATGAAGCCTCAGCCAGTGCATCTTTGGGAACTCGTATCAATGGGTCCAGTTCCACCATTCTTGTCCCAATCATCTGAGTGGCCTTATTAGGCATATTGATAGATTAGGACAAGCAAAAGGTTACTGGGACAATCCATATCTAGATGGAATGTAGTCAGGTAATGCCTGACTTACATTTTTGGAGTGGAAGTTTTTATTCTGCTTTAGTCTTGTGTACAAAAGAAAGATATATTGTAGAAAAATGAGCTTGTAAATGCTGATCATTAGAAATCCTTGTGGGGGGATATCTTCCAGAATCCTTCATTTGATTAATTTATTCAGTTGTGGAAGGGATCTGAACAAAACCAAACAAGTAGTCACTTTTATTCCATGGATTTGTTAGGGCAGGTTGTAAGGATGTAATCTACAACAGTTTAATATTGATAATACTGTTTTGGGATACCTGACACAGGTTTCCCATGTAACAAGCATTCAGTTATTGGAAACAGACACAGAAGTCAAAGCTTGATTTACAGATGATCTTTTTATGTCCATGCTATGCTTCAGGAGAATATCACAATCAGCCTAGTTAAAGTTGTTCAAGCTGGTTTTTGAAAGATGGTGCATTTACTGGTTTTGTGTATTTTTCTCCTAAAACCATGTATATTTTTCGTTTTTCTTGTGTTTCCAGGTGTGGTTAGCACAAATATAATAATAGGGGCTATTGCTGGCACCATTTTAGTGTTGGCTCTCGTTTTAGGAATAACTGGTTGGGGTTACAAGTAAGTACATTTTGTTCTTCTTTATAGAATTTCAAAATATGTGTATTTCATGTGATAGCTGATTATGTTATGAAAAGACCAATTAAAAAACTCCAAATTCAACAATATTTATACAGTAACATGTTTATCATATTAACATTTTTCAAGCAATTCTTACATTTGTATGTGGTTTTAGAGAGCTTGATCCAAATTTGAAATTTATTTCTCATTTAGTAATTTCTTTTTTTTTTTTTAGATGATCAGATTATGATTTTACTGTATGTGACAAAGGAAATACAAGAGTATGATCTGATTAAATTATAAATGTTTCCTCATGATGAAGTAAATATAGCAAGATTAGCTCTCAGTCAGTCAGCAAAGCATTTAACCATAGCCTTCATTAAATAGATAATTATATTTAGTTGGCTTAATCTGAAATTAATTCAAGCACAGTTTTTGGTAGGAAAGATCTGCAATTTGCAAATAAGGCTCAAGTTCTCTCCTGGTGTAGAGATGTCAGCGCTCACTGAGAGGCAAAATGGATTATATTAGCCTGATTAGTCTTTTTCAGTTTTAATTCTTTTGTGAATTTCATATAAAACCAGAGGGATTTATGTTTTTTGCTTGTAGTAAAAAAAGATTCAAGGTACTGACTTTATCATCTGTGTTTGGATGAAAATGTCTCTTGAAGTCATTTGTGTCTAGGTCCTTGTTGCTCTTGGAGGGCAGGGCAGGCTGAGCTGCAGGCAGTGCTGTGGCTGGGGCACAGCCCCAGTGGTTTGGCATAACAACGTGGCACAGCCCCTGCTGCTTTGCCAGACTGAGGTAGGCTGAGGGCAGCTCAGAAATATGTAAGGAAAGAAGCATTTGGAATAAAAACTATGAAGATGAGGATAGTAGAAAAGTAGGCTATGCTGTCTTGGTATATCCCTCTCAGCTTCTGGCAGTTTATTCTGATGTAGTATATTTGTAAGTATGCTTATTTCAGAAGTGATTTTGTAGAAATATTTTGAGCAAAAACTTCCTTCTGTATACAGTGCTTTTCTTTTTACATTTTTTTTGGTCTTACTGACCACGTGTACCTGCATACTAAAAACTCATTCTTCCTTTCTCTTCTGTTTATATGGAAAGAAACTACAGAAGACAGAGGTATGTGATAAAAGAAGTGGAATGTATCTTAGAAGTCTCTGAAAATAGCTTTTCTTCTCTTTCACTCATTTACATGCTACAAAGAAAATATTGAGATGGGTTATCATATTTTAAAATGATATATGAAATCAGAATTCTATAATGCATTGCTTGAAATCCTGATTTCACTGGACTCAGTAGCAACACCAATGTTTTTTTATACTTCTGCAATACACTGTTTTATTTAGGAAAACAGGAGAATATTTCCAATAAGAGACACTGAAAATCAGCTATTAGAGACAAAAGTGTTCTTGGGAGGCTAAGAACTGAATAATTAATACTAACATGATGTTCAGGAGCCTTTTGAGACAAATTAATTCCTGGAGCTTCTTTGCAGTTAAAACTACAATGCAATTAAATTGCTGTATGGACAAAGAGCCCATTCTTTCCTGTCACCCTGTTCAATTGATTCATAGCTAAAGCACAGTACTGGCTTCAGCACAGGGCTGAGCTTTCAGCATTTCAAGCTTGTGGCCAAAAATAAACCATTTTCTTAGTGACTTATGTTTGGCTCCTGGAAGACCACCTCCCTTTGATCAGGCATCTGCCTGGCAGATGGGTCTTGTGGGAAGGAGTTGGCTCTTTCCTCTCCCAGTCCCCAACAGATAAGAGGATTTCTCAAATTCCCCTGTTTTCTGCCTGTGTCGCTGCCTTCTGGTCCAAGCTGCTGCTTTGTTTGTTGCTGCTACCCGTTGTGCTTGTTCTCCATTTCCCTTTGTGTAGTGCTTTCTCTGCCAGGCTCAAAATATTTATAAATAGTGGACAAGCACTGTCAAGTGCTGGTTGTGTGCTCCAGAGTCAGATAGGCCATAGGTACAGTAACAAGTACAAGGCAAGACTATTGAAGTCAAGCCTTGTGCAGAGGCTGGTGGGTAGGGAGTGCCAAGGCAGGCGGAATTTAAGGGTTTGGTGCTGCTTAGTGGAAGCTAATGTATCTATGAATGGAGACTAACATGGCCATCAAGCCATTCTACTGTGGATGTTTCAGTATTGGCTGAGGACAGAGCAGAAAAAATCTTGAAACAGAAACAGAGTCCACCCCGTGTATGTTTGCATTGGAATACTAGAGAATGTAACTTCTTCAGATATCTTCATCTCCAGAAATTACTTTATGGCCAGAGAGCTGTGAGTGTGCAGCCAGTCTGCAGCTGTGTGTGAGAGCACAGGCAGAGGTGGAACCAACATAAGCTGAGGCTTCTGAAGGTAATGGAGGACTCCATCATTTTAAAGATGAGGAAAATATTTAGTAACTAAATCTCCTTCATGCATAAAATGGAGCTCTGTAGGCTGACTTCTAAATAAAATATTTTTGGATAAGTACAAGGAGTGCTCCATAAATGAAAAAACATACCCACCAGGTTGTCCAGACAGTCCTTAAAAAAAAAAAGAAAAAATAAAAAAAGATTGCTCCTTAAATAACAATGAAAACAAGCCTTTATAATATTTTTGAACATCACATAAGGATTATCCTTGGTACTAATAAGCAAGTGAAACAAATAAACTGAAAGTGGTAAGTAGAGCCAATTAGCAAGGATTCTGCCAGCTGGAATATGTGGCTTTAAAGGGCACAGCTATACATGTGAGAAGTTATATCTGATGGAGTAGCAAGAGAGCAGTTTGCTAGAGGAACCCTGGGGAGAGATCTGCCCACACTGAGTCAACTCTGAACACACCCATGTGCCAGCTGAGGAATGGGACAAGAACTGAAACTCCAGAGGTCTTAGAAGATGGAGAGTGGAAGTACTGCATTGCACCAATGATTTATGTGCCATACAGTTTTATACTTTACATACTTCAGAAGCATTAGAAATCCAGATACAGAATGGAGAGGTCCCAGTTTAGGTCTGTAGTTGGACATAATTTGAATATGAATCAACCTGATAAGTGTGCATCTTGATAGGAGCAGACTGTAGCAAAAATGTCTTGGAAAGTGTGAGGCTGAATAAATGGCTGATGCTGATATTATGAAATAGTCAACTGTCAAAGTAACTACTTGTACTTGGGAGGTTTTTTAAACCTGGTGGAACTATAACTGGAATATTTGCATGGCAGGTATTCTCTGCTGGCAATGAATTCACCATCTGGAAAAAATTTGCATAACTTGATTAGAACTTTCTAATGCACAGATAGTTTAATATTTTTTTTAACCATAACTGAGCTTCTAGTTCTGGAAAAGGATAAACTATTACATTACTGTCGTGTGTCTTGGCAGATTGAGTCTACTACTGTGGAAATCAGGAGTAGCTGAGAATCTCTGACACTGGTGTTAGTTCCCTTACACAAGAATTCAGTTTAAAAACTGGAAGTTTTTATCCTCATGAGATTTAAACAACTCAACAGGTTGCTACTCTTGAATTCTATAGTGATCACAAAAGTTAAATGCATCTACCTCAGAAGGAAAAAAACATTCACTATTCCTGAGCTCCTCTTTGATGCAGGCCTGTATTCAGCTTAGGCTCAGTACTGGTGCTTTTTGCAGCCAGCATGATGAGCTATTTGAAATGTCTGGACTGGTTATCCAGTGTCTCAAGAATCACTAACTGTTCACTTTGAAAATTGTGATCAGAGTTAACATTTTTCCTTGTTTTCTCTTTCCAAAACCACATAATCCACTCTTCTGCACATAACAGAAGCGTGTGGGACTTTTCTCTCAGATGGTTGAATTAGTTATTAATGGCTTTATTGTGTGTGGTTAACAGGTTTTCTCAAGGATTGCTATCCTTGCCTCTTTCTTTTAAACTAATGTTCATGCATGTTTGTGTGCATTCTAGTTCCTGTCATGTTTTCTGACTCTACAATGTTTATTACACTTCAGACAAATACCCCAGGGAGATTATGTAAAAAAGCCGGGAGAGGCCGACTCTTTTTATAGCGACATGCCTCCTGGAGTCAGCACAAACTCTGCATCTAGTTCTAAGAAGAGGTCTGCTTTTCTGTCGCATTTTCAGATTTCTACCTGTTCCATCACCCATTATTCCATTAGTCAGAACATTTCATTGTTTTGCAGCAGGTTTGACTCTTTCTTCTTTCTTTGTGAAATGTTTGAAATAGCATCCTTTTTCCTTTGATTACTGATTTTTCTCCTGTGTCCTAGTTGCTAATTAGTATGATTAGGCCAGAATAAAAAAATTTTGCATTGTAAATAAATTTTTGTTTAATAAAGTTTTCATATTATCCCTGCTTGAAAATTGATTTCAAGTAGACTGTAATAGTAATTGGTGGCTGAAAAAAAATTAAATAAAACACCAGCAACTTTTTTAATCAGTGTCATGTAATCAAAGAAAAGGAACATTGTCTTTCTTCAATAGTAGTTATAAACATGAAATGTTAAATATAAATGTTGTTTTTATATCTTTATTTGTCAGTGTCATTAATCCAGTGTGTTGACTTAAACTTCTGCTGTCTCATATTAAAGATGATAGTGATTGCATTTTATTCACTTACTAGAGTAATATACTAAATGGTCATCGAGTGTTATCTTAGAAAATAATTCTACAAAGACTTTCTGCATTTTTCTGCTTGCTGTCATTAGATTAGAGGGAATTAGATTTTGCCCTTGATCAGATTTCACTAATTCCTTTATTGTTCCAGTTGCCTAAAAAATTCAACATTTTAAAAGGGAAGATTCATTTAAAAGCATTGAGAGCCATTTGTAATTGCTAAGATCATGATGCTCACTGTTCCTCTGCAGTTAAAGATTCTTTATATGAAAATGTCTAGCTAGTACTGTAAAAGAATTGATGAGAAGCACTGTGTCCTAGAGGAATTGACAGTCATGATCTGCTTCACAAGAAAACTGCAATTCTCAATTCTTGTCCCACTTAGCAGCCTACAACTGTGCAGTTGATGAAGCAATTTTCTTTGCTATTATTTCAATTAAAGTAAAGAGAAATGTATGGAAGGGACACATGTAGTGACATTTGCTATTTTGGTATAGCAGCTTGATCTTATATACAACTTCATTCAGTTTGTTCTAATGATTATGTTATTAGGGAAACTCCAGTAGCGATTACTTAATTATCGCTAATTTTTAAATTCAGCTTTTAGATGTGTGGGTTGTTTTTTTTTTTTTTTTTCAGGAAGCAAGCAATAATCTTAAATGATACACTGTTTGTGTTAGAGAATCTTTCTGAATTTGGTTAAAATTTTGAAACAAAGTCTTGGGAAAGCAAGTTTTCATAGCTTTGTGTATCAGGTTTAAATACTAGTTTTAAAAAAAGGTTATTTTTAAATACTGTAATTTAATGTGTTTCTTCTTTCATGCAGTATCTGTGTTTCTTTTCATACTTCATTTATTTCATGTGTCTCTCTTTATTATTTGTTCCAAAAAGCTAATGGTTTCTAAGGTCTGTCTGTACTAGAGAGTTTTGTTGTTCCCACCACCAATTCAGGTATGTTGTGCCACTGTCAAGTCTGGAAAAGTAAGTCTGACAAATATTCCATTAACATTGTGATACAGCTGACGTAGTCCTTCCATTTGAATTCCCAGAGTGCTACCTCCTACCTTCCAAGCTGGTTTTGGTTTGCTCTGTGTGCTGGTATGGATGGCATCTCCTGGGAGATGTTAGAGTGGCTGGGCCATCAGCTGCCTGGGCTTCTCCATGCTGGAAAGCACTATGGAATATTAGCTGGTATTCAGAGGATGTTCAAGGATTAAGACATAACTTTATGATAACTCTTGCTATTATGAAATAGCAAATATCAAAGCCATTATATAGCAAGACATTCCTGAGCCTGAAAGTGACCTTGAGGAGGAGGAAGTGTTTGAAAGTCTGTCAGTGGATCTGTTGTTTCTCAGACCTTTAATGATGTGATTAAGTTTGAATTAATGAAACCCTGGGCTCACTTTAGCGTGGCTGTGATTAGCCTGAGCTTCTGAAAATTGAAGAGCATCTCTCAGATGCTCCCAAGGAAATCAGAGACTGAAAAATGCAAGTATCCAGACTTAAAAACTACAAAAATAGTTTCTTTAAGCAAGACTTTGTAATACGTAAGCCATCTATTGTGGATTTTTCAACTTTGTCTTCTCTTTTGGAAATAATTGTAGATCTCATGGCAAACAGCTGAGCAGCAGCTCTAGTTCAACAAGAGGCAGCCTGTGGCAAAACCCCACATGTTGGACATCACCACATACATCTCTGGCTCTTAAAAAGAATGCAAGAGGAAGGAAAAAACAGTTTGCACCAAGCACCTAGATAAAAAGACTATCTTTGGCTTTGAATTTAGCATTAGAAGTATATACTGCAGCAATTGGCTGATAAAATATAACATTCAAAATCAGCAAAAATGAGGCAGAGTTACCTCTCCCCTGGCACTACCAGCTCTGGGTGGGAGGGAGGATGCTCGTCACAAACTCCTGAGCCCCTGAGACTGGTAGCAGTGGGTTGAGGGAAGCTGTCCTGGCAGCCTAAGGAGGGAGTGGGCAGCCTGCAGGCAGGATGTGCTTGACTGTGAGATGAAAAAGCCTTGAAATGAGCACAGTAGTAAGGGCATCTACCATCTAGGAACTGAGGCAGAGCTGCAAATCCAAAGGAAATCTGGTGTGCGCCGGTGTTTGTGCATTCCACAGCAGACAAGCGAGAAAGCAGTGCTGATGTCTGGCTCTTGAATGTGGGCACATGGAGCTACTGCAGGGACAGCTGCAAGGTGTAACTGCAGAGTTTAACCAGAAATCCTGGATGCTCTGCTAGTGCAGACAGACCTTAGGCTGTGTTTTGTCACTGGCCTCGGGAATGTGACCAAACCACTGAGCTAACATTGATGTGAGCCAATGCCCTTAACAATAACTGCATCTGAGCCCTCCTATTCCAGGTCAAATGGATTATCTCATTCCTGGAGTGAAAGGATCCCAGACACAAAACATATTTCAGACATTTGTGAAAATGGGAGGCCTAGGAGTAATTCTTGGCAAGGTAAGTGTGAACCACTGTGCTGGCCACAGTGGAAACCAGCCTCTGGACCACTGCTGCTCTGCTGAAAGTTTAGCTGATCTTAGGACAGCAGCATGACTCCTTAAAATTGTGCTAACTGTTATTAACTTGAAATTAGGATTTAGCAGCACCCTACGAGTGCCTTTTTTGCACAGTGCTTTGTCACAAAGAAATTACATTTAATTTCTCCCTCCAGTGTGAGCTAACATGGAAAAGAGAAAGAAAACTATTCACTATTGCCAGCTTCTGTGATTTTATCAGGCAGTGTAAGGCGTTTTTCTTGACGTGTAGGGATTTTGTCAAATAACAGCTGAAATAAAGAAGTTCTTTGCTCTGTACAGTTGCAGCAAAAGGTAGAGGAAGGTAACCTAAGTGTCTGAGGTAAATCAAGTGGAACAGACCTGTGAGATTTAAATGGTTAAAGTTAAAGGTTAATGGCGTAAAGTTAAAGGTAGCAGCTCTTTTGCTATGGATGCAAAAAGAATATGCAGTTTGGCATGGGGCAGGTGAGTTTCAAGTTGTTTTACTGTCTTTGTCCTTTGATTTCTTTCAGGTAATATAGGAGGAAACAGAAAGAAAGTCAGAGGCAAAAGATTTAGGCCACGGTCTAATTCAACTGAGTAAGTCTGAATTTAAAAAAAGCAAAGCCAAAAGTAGAGTTTTCATATTTGTGTTTTGTAGATGGAAATTAAGAGTACTGAAAAGTAGACAGCTGCATTTTTGCTCTGTGGCCCATTCTGATTGCTGACTGATAATCTGGTAAATGGTTTGGCTAATGTATTTCAACCTCTTTTAATGTATTCTTTAAAAATTAACTATTAATTTTCTTTTTTTATGTAGGCTTCCTCACAGTCGTTCCCATAGCAATTCCCAATGATGGTGGCAGCCTGCACCATCACTGCAGGCTTTTGTCTACAGTAAACTGCCATTGCTGAGTGTATCCTGGTTCAGTACTGAGTTTCTGATAACCTGACTGTTTCCTACCCTTGTCTTCACCTTGGGTTGGACCATTGCAGAGTCAGAGATTTGTATCTCTGCATACTTTCCTGGAGGTTGTAGGAGAGGTATCTGTCTGCTTTAAGAGTACCTTGAAGTTTGCCATTGTAAGCCTGAAACAGCCAGTCTTGACTAAACCCTGTGATAAAAGGGTAATTAAAGTCTCTACCAAGTGACTGATCCCCAGACTTTCCCTCTACAGCTGAGAGTTGCTGGCTTATTGATTTATTGGTTGCATTTCCTAAAGAGCCCACATGTGCAATGCTCCCCACACAGGAAGAGCCTTTCTTACGTACTTAAGCCTGTTGGTTCAGGCCCCTCTTGGGAATGAGTGGTGAGTGGCTGGAAACCTCTGGGCTTGTCAAAAGCACTGGCTTGCTCTTACAGCACTTACACCCAACATGAATGGCCCTTTCTTTGGCCATGGTGGTAGTGACAGTGTCCTTCCCCATGTCATGAGTACTAATTTTGCACCTTGATGGGCAAATAGGCTTGATAGCAACCCTGCTGGAAGCTAATAATGCTAACTGCTCTCTGGACCCCATTTTCTTTGATTTGGGGATTTTGAGTTTGTTCTGAAACTTTTCTTTCACCTACCATGCACTGTCTTAAGCTGAGTAGGCTCAGAAAGGGTTCCTAGAGAAAACCCTATGCTACAAATTACAAAACCAATACTTCGATGCACATTGCAATTATAACATTGCACGGTCAAAATGGCATCATGGAATCAGAAATTTTAGCCCTTGGAGGAGTTTATCTCAAGAGTCTCTGTACTCTTTGTGCTGATAAACTCTTACTGAAATGTTATTTTGCCCATTTTCTTTTCTCCTTGCATGAGATAGTTTGATAAAATCAGATAAAATCAAAATCAGTCTGGCCAAACTGCCAAAAATACAAATGAGATTTGCTCTGAGAACTTTGAAACATTAAATAAGAGAGCAAACAGAGATATTGAGAGTTGGAAATATTCTTCCCTGTATATTTGTTTCTCTTTTAAAGGTTCCCCTGAATTTCCACCTAGTTCTCTGCTTTCCTTTTTGCTGCTTGTTATGGTGGTGTCTCAACCCAGCAGCAGCCCTAATGCTACAGGGAGGAGGCTTGTTCTTCCCAAGGGCCATGCAGCAACCTTTTGGGGATGAAGCACAGTGTGTGTGTTCCTGGGAGAGGCCTGCCAGGCAGGAAAATACCCTTTCTCCTGGTCAGGTCTGTCCTGGACTGCACAGGCCTGAAGGGCTTGTCTGAGTCTCCTGGGCAGTCCTATCACCAGCTGGAGAGAGAGCTCCCACTGAATGATCCACAGGCTGTGTCAGTTCAGTGGGGAATGGAGAGAATTGCCAGGGCTATTAGAGGGCAATTAACTCTCTGGTTAGAGGGACAGCTTCTTTTTCGAGGAGAGAAAATGGACTGAGAATGATGTAACTCTGACCAGCATTTAGTCATTTAGGAAAAAAAACCAAAAACCAACACCAGCTGCTTTGAGGATGTTGCAGAATACATGGAAGCTTTTCCCAGACCAATTTACTTTTCTACCTTGTCTAGGAAATACAGAATAGTATTGAAATCTGTTCTGAAGCAATATTTAAAAAGTCAGCTTATGTGGCCCTTAGGAGTCCAATAAAGCTTATTGATATGGAAGAAAAAGGATAACAGTGTTGGTCTCCTGTAATTAGCAGACTATAGTTAACCATTATAAAATTGTGTTTATTAATGCCATGCCTTGTGCAGAATTCAATTTTTTTAAAAACCACACCCATGTAGTTGCCTTCAAAGATATTTGTATGCATGGTTTGCAGTAACTGCACACATTATGCACAGGTTGTTTTTTATATACAGCCAAAAATCAAATAGAATTGTGCCAATAATCATTTAAACAGAATTTCCTAAGGACTGAGCAAGGTTTGAAGTCTGCAGCCCTCACGAGCAGCACTGACAAGGAGTTGCAAACACTTTGGGCAGCTCCTGAAAAATGTCCTGCTCACACCTTTGTGTGACCCTTGGACCTAGTGTACATGAACAAGGCTTATGCTAAGCATAGAACTCTGAGGAGACTGCTAAAGATATTTTGAGACATTTTTAATTGTTTTTGGATGTTTGATAACAAAGTATTTATTCTTTACTAAAGGCAGATGGTTCATTACATGTGGAAGGAATGCCAACAGGCCAAATGCTTTTTCAGAAATGTGGCTGATGAAACGGCCTGATAAATAGTTCTCTATTAAAATCAATTAGAATTATCCAGGAATGATGACAGTTTTCTGAATAAGTTGACAGTATAATTGGGAGCTTGTGTTAAAACAGGTCCCAGCAATTCAGACTTCGGTTAATTTGCACTGCTTTTCCTATAAGCATTTGTCTTCCTCGTTGTTATAACTGATACGAACATCTTTGGTTTAGACTTTCTATTATATATTGTCTTTTTGCAGCCGGGTAACCCATGCATCTGAGCCTGGGCTTTCTCTCGCCCACCAAATCCCTGCCCAAGGCATAAGCCCAGGGGGTTCCGACCACCCCCAAACAGGGAGTCGGGATCACAGGTCAGTCTCACCTGCCCCTGCATTCTGGGCTGCCAGTTTGTCCCGTGACAAGTCCCTTCCCTAGTATCTGATAGTTTCACTGTGGCAAAACACCGTGACTGCTTGGAGGTGCTCCTGCTGATGCAGCGCTAGCTACCCTTCCTCCTCGCCAGCCTGAGGAGTACCAGTACTCTTGAGCCCAGGTCTTTTGCCTTGTTGCATGTTGCGCTACGAGCCGAGTCGAGCTGTCGGTCTAGCTCTGGGCTTATGCGTAAGGACACCTTGTTTCAAAGCAGAATTTCTCACCCAAAGGAAATGTGGATTCTGGCCATTACTAATGGACACGTGGCCAGAAAGATCGGCCTGAGGGCTTTCCAATGGTATCATGTAGTGGTCTGCAGTAACCTGAGTTTAACCTTTTTGTAACGGATGGCTTGAGGTGGTGAATGATGGTCTGTAATACACCCAGACCCAGGAAACCCTGCAACGTGGTTGTGCAACAATTGCATGCTTTGACAGCACCTTACACTGTTTTCTAATACAGGAAGCCAGACTGGGAGTGTTTCATGGTTACCAAAAGACCCTTTCAACTGAAAAAGCGCAAGTTTAAAGTATTGCAGCAAGTACAAGAAAATGTACAATCAAAGCTAAAGCAGAAGTTCATTAGTTCCTGGTGACGCTGGCATCAGCCTGTTGCTTCACTTGTGGTTCATCTGTTTTGCTGCGCTACTGCTTTTGATGTTTTCTTTCTCTAAGACCCCAAGCTGGAAAGCATAAAGCACTCCCGATTCCTGATAGATAAGCGAGCTGAGGAAGCTACCTAGAAGCACTTGTGGCTGAGGGCGAGTCCTTTCTGAGAGCTGTGGCTGTGCTTGCGCGGGGTGGGGAGGAGACGTTCCAGAGCAAAAAAGGAGCAAAAGAAGTTGAAAAAGTGCTGCTGCTTTTGTTGTCATTGTTGTTTGAAATATGGAGGGGGTTGAATGACATGATTTGGCCCAACTTTTATTCATCTGAGCAATAACTTGCAAGGCCTGTTCCCATGTGTGAGGTCATTGGAGTCACTTCCATAAATAAGGGTGGCAAGAACTGGACCAGAAGTATCAAAAATAACTTAAAGAGGAATTTTCTTTCCCATTTCCCTTGATTAAAATTTGTTTCCTATTTCATTGTGCTAGTTTCTATTGTGTAAAGATGGTGATTACAAATAATCATTTGATTGTTGCCATTCATATGTAACAAGAACAAACTTTAAATTGGTCCAGGCAGACTCCTATTTTCTGCATCTCCCTTTTTTGTTGACATGACAGAAGGGGAGGAATTTGCTTATCTTGTTATTGGGAAAAATGTGTTAAAGTTTTCTTCTTCCTTGGTAATTTGTTGTCAGATAATGAAACATCATCTTTATTTCATAATTTTCCATGTAACTAATATGAGTATACAACTCAGACATTTTTTCCTAAAAAATGTGGTTTTGGTGTCAATATTGCTTCTGTAAAATATGAGATAACTCTGCAGCCTACCTCCATTAAAGCCAAACTAAATGAACATTGAAAAATCAGAGGGTTGTTTGCCTGTAAATGTAAAAATTGTCACTATAGTGGCAAAAAATGCAAACCTTTTAACATGATGAGGCTGAAATTCATTCCTATAAAAAGGGTCAAGCCCAAGATTCTGTGGTCTTTTAGCCATTATCTTGCAATTTATCTAGATGGATGCAAAAGTGTGTCTTTGGCAAGCAAACATCATGACTGAAGCCAAAATTCCCCTTCATCCTTATTTTGAGATCATGAGGGAGTTCAAACGATGAGCTTAATGCTGGCCCTCTGCATAGGAGTGAATTTTACCCTTAAGACATTAAATGAATGATGTATCCCAAAGAGTTTCCAGATTAAGCAAACATATGAGTCTTGTTGTAGGTCAGATTTTCTCATGCAGTTGTACACATTGCCTAGTCCTCACCCAAATCCATACTGATTTATTTGCCATATTCACTTGCATTTTGGGGATGAAGACATCCTTGCTAAGCTTGTGCTGTGTGTTCTCAGATTTTCTATTCTTGTTCTTCTGCTTTCTCTGTTCCTTCCATTGCTTTCTGCAGGTATTTAAACCCATGGTTCAAAAGAGAATATAATGTAGCTAAGTGGGTAGAAGATGTGAATAAAAACACAGAAGGACCATACTTTAGGTATTTTGTAAATTAATTCTATAATTCTCATTTTTTAGAGCTGTTCCAGCATATACAAATATCTTGGGACTCCTACCTTGTATAAATCAATACAAGTTACTTAGGTGCAAAGGGCCCCTCTTCTTTTGCTGCATTTTGATGTCTGTTTTTGGCTTCATGTGCAATTTACAATTCTTTTTCTGAATGTTTTAATGAAGCCATTGAAAAGGGTGTGTGTAGTGCATGCGTTCCCACCATCATCTATAGCTTGTAGTAGCTTTCTCATCATTTTATGCCAAATAGTGTTTTATGGGCATGAGACATATTTATCACTAATAAAATACTATTAACTTAAATAGAATTTTAATTTACTGAAGCAAGTAGTTTCATAACACATTGACTCTACCTACTGTCTTATATAGTGCATACTAAAATTTAAATTAAAAAAGACTAAAAAGTAGTGGTATTTTACCTTCAGCCTGCAATGAAATAATTTATATATTTTAATTGGAAAACAAAATTTATGAGAATATACTCTGTGCTCTAATTGTCAAACTGCTAATTAATCTGTTACAAGTGAGGTAGGGTTCAACCAAAAATATAACTAGTTTTTGAAAGGGAAGAGTGTGCATTATCTGGTACGTTCCAAGTTACAGAGAAAACACATGCATCAGGCTGGGCCCCTGTTGGACATGAATCAAGAGACTGAGAATGTTGCAGTATATTCCCAAAAGACACAGTCCCACAGCTGATACAGATCTCTGCATCAGCTGAAAAAATGAGCCAGCATAGGAGAGAATCAAAGACAATTTATGACAAATGCATGAACAAAATCCATGAAGCTGTAAGCTGACATATAAAAAATGAAGATAGTTACAGAAACACAAATCAAAAGAATAATAAGCCAAACCTTCAGCCAAAACTGTGAAGGATGGTAAGAACAAGTAAATAGAATCTTAATAGGTTTGCTACACAAGTAGACCTAATAAAAGTGCAACAGGACAGAAACATATGCTAAATGTGTACAGTGTGCATTTGGAAAAAAAATATGACAGGACTTGTATCACAGGGTACTAATGAAACACTTTTATTCCAATAGTAACACTGGCAGACATTAAATGGCAGGGTAAGAATTTAGTCATTTTTAGAACTAAAAATGTCCTGGAGTCTTAAAACACCATAAAATGGTTACTTTTTAAAACCCTTTCTGTTTGTTTTCAACACCTCATAAATCACAGACAGAGTAAGCTGCAGGATAGGTTTCCAGTGAACAAACAGGAAAAATGAGTAAACCTTGGCCTGTCAGCCCTGAAAAGGGAGAAGAGATCCCCAATGCAAGAATCCAGGGCTTCCAGGAGGTTGTTTTGATGGTGCCAGTCGGTATCAGACAAGTCTCTTGGTGCCTGGGCATTCTGGCAGGGAGTATGGTGAGTCTGGTTGTTTCAGTGATGGGATACAGGGTCCAGGTCTGGTGTCTGCAGTTCAGCAAGCATGTTCTAGAACTGGGGAGATCTAAGCCCAGTTCTTTCTAGAGAGCCTCAGGCTGTGTAGTTTAAGGGAGCAGCTGAACACTTACCTGATCACGAGGTCCACATCACTGCATATGGAGCAAAATCTCTGTGTGTGTGGGAGGTCCTTTAGATTTGCCAGCTAAGACTGATAATGACCAAAGGTCACTGGAAGCTGAAATTAGGAAAACTCACACAGGAGGTGAGGTGTGTTTTATTATCAAAACCTTCTCTAAAAATAGCCTCTTGACCTTTATTGTTCAGGCAAGATCAAGAGCTGCCCACCATAACATAACCCCATAGCTGTCTTTCAGGGTTTTTGTATCAGAAGCCCTGTGGTAGCTATAAACAAACACATTGATGGAATATGAAGATAGCACTATTTTAATACAGGTTACTTTAAATGGTTTAGTTAAATAGGGTTAAAAATCTGTTTGCATACTCATAATTTGGTTTTCATTTTTTAGTATCAGTATATTTTTATTTAGTAACTCGATTAAATTGATGGGAGTATGCCCTGCCCCTGAGGGTATTCAGCTGTTACACTGAATGAGTCACATTTTTAATTGTATTTGAGATAAACCAAGCATTTTTGGCATGTAGATAAGGATTAAGCTGACCCATGTGAGTTTTAAAGGCTATATATCAGCAGAGATATAACATAAATCAAATTTTTTGCACCACAGAAGCTTACTAATCACTGCCTGCAGCAGTTACCCTTAGAAATCAGAGAGCAACTAGAATAAATTTAGAAATCTGAATTGTCCTAATTAAATGAGGTACTCATGGGGAAATATTCTGCAGACACATTATGGAAGGCAAAAGATCAGATCTCTTGAGATGAGTTGCTGTGGGTTTACAAGAGGTTGAACTAACAGTTTCTCCACAAAAATCAGGTGCAATTTTGCTTAATGATAGCATGGGCAGGAAAAGACTGTTCCCAAGAATGGTGTGTCAAAACATCTTGTGGCTGGGTTTTGAGCCTGGGCCTGTGAAGTGATTCACAAAGAGAATGAAACAGATCTTACTTGTTAAACTAGAACATCAAGCTGAAGTCACATTGTCCAGCTGGTACAATATTTAATGAGTTAGAGTGCCAGGATAAGACATTTACACCAGATATTTAGCTGAGTAGTATTCATGTCGCTAATCATCTTTGATTTCTTTGTTCTTTTAAATGTGTCCTGAAAGTAATGCTGCTGTTGTGCTTGTTTCCTTGTAGTTTTAGGAATAATATGTTGATGACTGGTGCTGTTGTAGGAAGAGTTGAAAAGAATAAGGAAAAATGACAAAAAAGCTTTCTAGGAAAGTTGCAGATTTTCAGAAAATAGAGATATTAGTCATCACCGAGATTTTCTCCATCTACCTCAAATACCCTGTATAAATCATAATTTGTCTCTCTAACACCTGATTTCCTAGTAATTTTTTTTCTAGTCTACAAGTCTGATGGGTATTTCATATAATTACTTTTTATAATGATAGTAATAATAGTAGCTGGTGTGTCTGGCATCAGGAAACTCCCTAGTGTGGGATTCCCATCTGTAAGAAAATAAGATCTGTGAAGGAAACTCTCATTTTCCTGCTTAAAGTCTAGTCTAGATTTTAATTTTGTGTGCCAGGCTATAACCACATAACCTCAGCAATAAAATCAGGCAGGAAGCGTCTCCCTGAATTTAGCTTTACTGTAAGGGACATTATTTTATGAATGTGCTACTACTGCTTATTCTTGTTACTGACAATTACAATGTCCACTGCACAGGCTGACCTTCTGAAATATGATTAAGGATTACTCAGAATTCTCACTGAATCTAAAATACTTCATGGAGCCATGATGGAATCAGAAAACAAACTGCCAGAAACCCCAAACATGGCATTTCTGTAGATAAAGAAAAAATACTAGAAGGCACCTTTTAAAGTGTTGAGCTATCTGCATTTGATTTAATGCAAGTATTTAAAATAAGTTATATTTTATGAGTTACTTAAATACAAAAGTGGTTTACAAGCAAAGGGTTTTTTAGATAGAGACCCAGAGCACATAACCAGAAGGAAAATGGCTGTCCTAAATCAGAAGGGCATCAAGAAGGGGCGTGGAAGGAGGAGACAGTAGGCTGTCATTTCCCTCCTATTTCTAATGCTCTTTTGTGTCCTTGACTTTTTCTCAGTTCCTCTTTAGTTGACCATTTCCATCACCTTCTTTTGTGAGCATCCAGCTGAGGCCAGAGCCATGACCAGCCCTTGGCAAGCTGCTCTTGCTGAGACAGCTCTGGACTGTGCTTAAAATAAAAAACAAACTAACAAGCCTTTTCTGTATTACCAAAGCAAAATACTGTTATTGTTGGCAGATAATGAAAAATGCCTACTGATGTCAATAGGATCAGGGTTTTGTTTCAAGAGTTAGGGAGAAGGGTTCATTGAAGCATGTGAGTGCCTGCTTCTGAGGCATAGTTCACTGCTCCAAGTGACAGCTCAAGCCTTAACCATTGTCTCTTCTACAGCCCCTCCATGAGCCTCCTCTCCCCTCTGCTGCTGCTCTTTCTGAGGACATGTGTGCACATCTGTGGCTTTAAAAAAGAACTTACTTTAAAATGTTTAGCCACACCAGTGTTTTTAGGTCCTAATGTAGGATCTAGGCTGATGATGTCATACAAAGAGCTGAATCCACAGCAGCAAAGGTCAGATTAGACTGATAGGGTCTATACTTGGGCTTGCAATGCTTTCACCTGGTTGAATGTTAATTGAATTTCATTACATTATTTCAGTCTGCAAAAGAGAATCATCCACAGTTCATGAACAGTTCAGATCTGTCAGGGCCATCTGCCTTGAGTTCAGTTAAAGTGACACTCAAAATTGTGAAATGTTTAGTTGTGTAACCAGGTGACACATTTTGCAGTTTCTTGTGGGCCAACATTCGCTGTTTAGGGACAAGAGGGGAGCAGGTAGGCCCAAGGCTGCAGGGACTGCTTCCAGATGTCTTCTTGCTGCCACAGTGCTTGTTGTGAATCACAGAATGGTCTCCACACAGTCTTAGTTTTAGCTTTCAGGACAGAAAGACACAAAGTGGCTACTCTCTCCTGCTTTCTGTTCAAAAATTAGAATTTTTGCAGGTGAGGTGCATGGTTTCATTTGGGGTTGGCAGTAAAACTCTAAATCTCTGTTGTGATGTGTACTGGTTTCTTGTGTAAGTTTCAGCTGGAAGCAACATTTGGCATGAAAGCTAATGGATTTGATTGCAGGAGAACTGAAACCCTAGTGAAAACTAAGTGGATTCCACCCTTGACCAAAACTGCCAAGTTTTCCTACCTTTAACCCCAGCATTACCTGCAAGTGTCCCTGAATGCTGTCTCTCCATCCTGTAAATGAGAAAGAGCCAGACATGACCTTTCTCATTTAAAGTATATGTAAATCTGGGATACACAGCACATACACAATTGCAGGGCACAACCTGAAAGGTGATCAAAACCACCTTAAACAATGTTGTTTATCACAGAAGATGCACTGTAAGATCTGTGAGCATATGCTGAGTTGTGTATGCTCACAGTCTCAGTAGCTGGCACTAAAGATGACAAAAACCAGCACATAACTCTATAACAAAAATAAGTGGTGAGGCCCTGTGAGGGGAGGGCAAGGTCACTTCTCTAAGTGTGCAACTGCATTCTTGATATGTTGGCTGTAGAGTTGCAGCTGGGCAGCAAAGCTCACATCAGTTAGATGTGCAGGTGATGTGCAAACTGCAGGTGAGCAGGCAGTGCAAAGGAGGTTTGAGAAGGAGGATATGTAGGCAGCTACACTGGAGGCTTGGCCTTCAAAATCTTTGGAAAAGGCAGCATTGTGTTTGAGTTATGGTGCAAAGCTTCCTGGCTGAAAGGATCAGTTAGGGATCCTGGTCAGAGGACCTGCAGGGAAAATATTCAAGATGCCCCATCCTTCGGAGGATTATTACTCCTTCCAGGATCACCTGCTCAGATGGATGGACAGGAAGATTGGATGTGGCTTTTCCTCTCACTGTGGCCTTCTCTTAGAGTATCTAAAATGTGAAGAGCCTGTGGTGTGTTGGAGGTGTCGTGCCTGGTGTGGTGAAAGAGATGGGAGATGCCTTCATTCTGTGCCACCCTCCTGGCTGTGCTACCTTATAAACAGCTTTCTGATAGGGCTTGCCAAGTCAGATTCCACTAGCCCAGTTCCTTCTTTCTGATCTCCAAGTGCACTGTTGCAAATTTTAAAATGAAAATTTAAAATTCTACTGCAGCAATAGGGTAAAATTTGTGAATAATTGGATTACTAATAATATGTAAAATCTGCTCTCCTTATTTTCCCTGCTCCCTCTTCTCCTTATATTCTTTATTCTAGATCCACAAATAGTTTATTAGTGATAGTCCAAGTGGAGACAGAGATGAGAGGACTTGTATGGATAGTGAACAGCAAGGCACTGTTGACAACCTATCTCTGGAATTTTGTTTTTATATTAACCTGTTTTCTTGCATGCACAGTTTGGTGCCCAGATCCATGATGTCGGACATACAGAAACCTTGTTTTATACTGCAGTAACTGTTTCAGGGTTTTTCTTCCTGAAAATATTGGTGTATGTCCAGTTCATCTTAATGGGTAATCAATGTGCAGGTACTGAAGATGCAGGCTTCCATGTTTGGTAATTCTACCAATGCAAATCTCTTAAGTGCTGTTGAACTTAGAGGCTACCACATGAGGCATTAGAGGATCATGAGCCAGAGTGGAGAGCTCTCATCATATAATTTCCATTGACACCTTGTTGCTTGTGGCTACCATCAGTCTTTGTTTGTATGGGAAGCAAGAGAATCTGCTATTGGAGGGAGCTACAGTCACAACAAACTGATACAGTAGTCCAAAATAAAAGAACAGTTATTTAAAGGTAAATAAATTTCACTTATTATTATGGAAAGTTTCCATCTTCAGGGACACATGAACTCAGAATAGATAGCAGTGCTCAGGGAGGGCTGAGTGATGTGCTTGCAGTATTAAGAGGCCTCCTGTGGTGAATGCCTTTGGTCTGCATAAGAGAACAAGGGGGCCAGGATAGCTCAATTTTTCTATTTTGAGGCCTTTTTTTCATTTTACTCTGCCCAGATTTAGAGCCTAATAGGAACCTCTCAAGTGGGAAAAGTGCAGAATCTCAAAACAGAAGCATAAGAGTTTTTCTTGGGTATAAAATTTCAGTCAATAATGTGCTGTTGCCTTATTGACATGAAAAGAATGCCTTTCATGTGATACAAACATTTACTTGCTCCTGCTTACTCTACTCACCTTGTACAGAAATGCTGATTGCCATTGACTAATCAGTCCATTTTTGTATATTCTCATCAGACTCTTTCTTTGGCTGGAACAATATGCACTGTATGATGCTTGCATGTATAACAATTTGTTATTAGCACTTTGTATATGCCTTTGTTACTTCACAACTAACAGTTTGGCCTCCAAATGCATGCATTTGTGTAAGTTAATGTTACAAAAATAATAGATTTATTTGCTATGTTTGTATCAATTTAGGAGATGTGTAAGATATGCATAAAGACACATAATTGCCATTTAGTCACTGGGAGAAGACATTTGTTCAGCTTTTATTTATACAATTACTGTTTCTATTTAGGCTTTATGCTTTTAGTTCTGTATTTATTCAATTGCAGATTTGGTTTTTAATAATTTCATAATGATTAATTACAGTACCATATAAAACAGTTTAAGAAATAATTTTTGTTATACAATTCTAATAAGAAGTAGCAAATTTTTTTCTTCCAGTGTTCCTGAAATCTCTAAATACCTTTATTCATATAATGAAATTATAAGATTACTGATCAATCAATTTTATCCCCCTGATATTGAGCTAATAATAAGCTATATTCTTGTCTCTGAACCAAGCTTCAGAGTAATGGCAGTTGCTGTTGCAGTGCTAGAATGCAAAGACATCACATTTATTTCATGTGTTTCAACATCTCAGGACACTGTCTCCTGCAAAGTCTCCGTCTTCATCCACTGGATCTATTGCTTCCAGCAGAAAATACCCGTACCCGATGCCACCGCTTCCTGATGAAGAGAAAAAAGTCAACAGGCAAAGTGCCAGGGTATGTGCCCCTCTTCTCTCTGCATTTCACCAGTGACTTGATTTACTGATAGTTTTTCAAAAGGAAACTATGGCAGATTAACACTTTGACCAACAAGGAGAGCTGGAATGGCATTTCCTTTGCACCCTGAAGTTCTGAAGCTGCTGAGCCTCTCGCAGTGATGAAGGCCTCCACAGCTGTGTTTACAGGCAGCTTTTCAGGTTGCTCTTAAAGCTGTCCTGAAGCCCAGATTTCACTACTTTTCTTATTTCAAGCTGAAAATGTGCCCTGGATAGCCTTTGGGCTGCAGAGCACAGGCAGCCCTGGAGTAAGTGGTGTGTTTGGCTCTCCTTTCTTACCCCTTCTCCCATCAGCTCTCATTCAGGCTGTGGGGATAGCTGCTTTCCATCTTTATGGAAATGTAAAAATTTCCAGTTATGCAGCATATGGAGTGCTTGGAGGCCTGGAGGGACTTCACTCCTGTGTAATCTGAGCCCACCCTGGCCCTTCTAGGGTAACCAGGAGCTGCTGGAATGTGTGGTGGATAGTAACGCCTCATACAGAGAGATTTCCAGCTGCTCCAAAAGGCTTTTATTTCCTTTGTGTCAATTCAGACACAGCAGGTATTTGAATAAGCAAAAAAAGTCTGAAATTTGCTTTAGGGCCTTCACTTGCAATACCCTTGGTTCATGTTGTTGATGCTGCTGAGATTCTCATCACTGTTCTCTGTCCTTTTTTTTAATAAGAAAAAAGGAATGGAGTGCTGCTGAGGGAACCTGCAAGCTGCTCCCCCAGTACTGCTTGGGGCAGAAGGTTGTGTGAGGTGCAGCACCGGGTCTTCCAAGGCAGCTTGGAGCCTGGGCTGTACTGATGTATCTCAGCCCTGGAGCTGCTTTGGCAGCAGCTCAAACCCACGGCAGGAAGTCATGTTGCTCTGAGCAGAGTTAGGCAGAGGAAAATGGGAAGTTATCTCTACACTAATATTAGCAGAACTCTAAGGTATAAGTTGTCTAGTACAAGTTTGATGCTACAGTGACATTTCTCTTTCAAAAAGAAAACTGAACTCCCAGCCATGGGCTGACTATGCTGACTGCAAGTTGTGCTGAAATGCTGAAGCCTGTCTGCTCACTTGGTGAACAGATACCCACCAGAGTCAGGGAGGAGATTTGGTGACCCAAGTGATGAAGATGCAGTTCCCCAAACAAGCTCCTTGCACTGTCTGGGTGACAGCCTGTTTTATCTTGGTGTTCAATGTGTGTTTGTGTTTATTTCCCCCTCTCCAGCTATGGGAGACATCCATCTAGATGCAGTGTTTTCCTGGGGTCACATCAGAACTGTTTACTTTGGATTTTATAGAAACTCAGCATCACTGAGTCACTGCACATTCATCTGCTCTTCAGACAATTCGAAAGATCAACTGAGATGCCCGTGATATCGCAGTGATAACCTCCTGTCATATGGAAAGGAAAAAAACAGTCTTTTTTTTTTCTTTCTTTTTTGTTGACTTGTATTTTATGGATTTAATGAACAACCAAAATCATAACATTTGACAGAGAATAATTAGCCCAGATGTGACAAGGCTGTTCTGCATGGTGACCTAGAATCCCAGCTGCAGTCCATTTGCCAGTCCTGTGTAAGAGAGGTTTTTCTCTGGTTTACTGCAGTCCTGAGTCAGACCAGAGTGGAACTGGGAATGTGCCTCACGGAGAGCCCAGCTGATGTAAACTTGTATGCTGTATGCATGAACCTTGTGTTCTTTACTTTCCACATGTAAGGGAAAAACAACATACTGTAGTAGAGATTAGCATGCAGGAGTAAGAAATATAGGATTTTTTTTTGTGACAGGATTTCAAGCTTTGAAAGGCAACTATTTGACACAAACGGCAAACAAACAAAGGTTATATCTTTTTTTTTTACCTTACATGTTTATAATCTCAGTATACAGATTGTATATATGTAAACATTCAAAAATGTCAAAAATAGCTGTTATACGTATGTGTATTTTGCCAAATGCCTAAAGAAACAGTCATGACTAACATCATCACACTTCAGATTTTCTAATATTATGAGCAGAAATACAGAAAGTACAGTACTGTAAAACTGTGTCCCTCAGAAACTGGTGTTTGACCAAAATCTATACAACTTTTTCAGCATCTTATACTGTCTTGACAATCTCAATTGTACAGTAGACTGCGGAAACCAGTACAGGAGCACTTTGTCTTAAATCATTGTAAAAGGAACCAGCCAAAATCCCTTGTTTAGTAAGATAACCACTGTATCCTCTCACAGGTGTAATCAAGAATGATTCAGCAGACAGCAGAGTCTTTAAATCATGTGCAGCCCAAACTTACTGGACATTTGGGAATACTTCTAAGTGGTCAATTCAGGATGTGGTGATGTGAAGTCTGTCTGTGAGAGTTGCTGTGTATTTTTGATAGAGCATTTCAGACACTGTTTTAGATGGCAAGGCATAGGCTTATGAGAAGCATAACAATTTCACTGCACTAGATAATAACAGTGCTGGGCAAGTGGCCAGTTTCATTGCTGTCTTTCAATTTTTATTCGTTCCTGGAATCGCATTTACCATGCGCTCGAATGCTACGCTTGCTGCCCCTGAAGCCCCCTTGACAATTTTTTGGGGCATTAAACTGAGCACAAAGGAATTTAGCTTAAAAAGAATAGGGGGGGGAACAACTCTTTACCATGTTATTCTTGTCTGTAAGTTGATGGTTGTATTTCTAACACCTGAGACTTCTGAAGGTTGTTTTAAAGCAAATGCCTTCTGGTTGGGAATTTTCAGTTAGTGAGAAACTGAACCATATTAAATCAGTTTATAATTCTCTGGTTTTCCAGAACTGACTATTTCTTAGCTTCAGGTAGTACCATTGCAGAATAAAACACCTGACTCTGTGGTGCAGTTGAATACCCTACCCAACAGCTGTATGATTAATTAGATATTATTGTAATGGGAACATCTATGGTGTTTCTGAATCTTCTACCTCTTTCATGTATTTCCTTTAGTAAGTGAACCCAACACTTGCAGCCTTTTAATGTATTTTTTTAACTTTTACGTCTCTCAATAAAGTCAGATATATGTAAGATTAAATTAATAAATGTTTAAAGATGTCGGCAGCTGTAAAATATGTAAGATTTTTAGAAGCACTATATTTTATGATTAGGCTGTATGTTGGATTATGACAAAATATTGGCCTTGCCATTCAAATGATTTTCTCACAGTCAACAGGTTCTGGTAAGTATTTGGAAAAAGACAAATATAAGTGAGCACAAGTGGGTGGAGACTGACCATCTGGAAAGAGACAGTCACTGGTAACTGCTTTAGGGAAAGATTCTGCATTTTTGTGAAAGGTAAATATATCAATCAGCACTGAAGATTATTTTTTGCAAAGATTCACTTTGAGTGTAGCTCTCTGGATTAAAGATAGTTGATAGCATGTAGCTTATGAAATTAGGGTCTGAGCCATAACTTGAAATCAATATGTCTTTTGTTGATTTCACTGGACTTTGAGCAGGACCCTCAAGAGGTTCACCCACATTAGGATATTATGACAACCCGATCATTGCTGTATTCTCTGCCACCTGGAAGCTGCTTTTCCCTCCCATATTCATATCTTGTCTTTAGTAGCTGGACTGTTCATCATGTGCCTTTTATGGTATTTTTTTGGATACAAACTGGCATGTAGTTTTGAATGATCCCATTAGATTTCTGTGCATATCTTATGTTTTTCAGTGTTTACTCTTCCATTTCCATTTTGCCTTACCAAGAAGCAGCAAGATTTGGCAGACAGAACTGGAGATAACATGCAGGCTCTTTCTGCTATGTTCATAGCTTCTTGTTTTGCAAACAAATGCCCCTCCTGACTGTACTTTCAATGTAGTATGTACTTCCAGCTTCTTTTGCTTTGGTATAATTCATTTGTAGCAGATGATGATACACTTATGTGTGTAGTGTACCTTTAACAGTCACCCTCGCATTTGGAGATATGTAGTGACTGGAAGTCTAGTTCTGAACACTAAGTTTAAGTTAAATAAATGTTGACTTTCACTTTGGTGGTCTAGCGTGAGAATATCACAGGACTTGTGTTCTTGCAAAATTCTTCTGCAGAGAACTTTGCATCAGGTTGGTAACTTGGGAGACCTCAACTGGCAGAGCTGCGTGAGCCTGCCAAGCCAGTGGAGGTTGGACAGATGAGTTGTTTGCTTACAAAGCTGTCATTTCCTACTTTTAAAATGTAGTATGTTGGAAAGCTGCCAGATTAATAACCTTGAAGATGGCAAATATTTTTATCCACTGTAGTTAGTTACGCTGGCAATAGCAATATAAACTGCTGCATAATACCTCATCCAGACTAAAATAGAGTACTTGTCACTAATATAGCTCAGTCATTTTGACTAATTGAGACTCATGCTTTTATTTTGGTTTTATTTTAATAAATGGACTAGTTGATTGCCAACTATGCTGTAGATGTCTGTTGAAGTGAGGAAGCCCTCAGTTCTCAACTAGAAGTAATTGTTTATATGAACATAGGACCGGCAGGATGAAATATACTTAATATAATACCTTTATGTATTTCAATGTGGGAGAAGAATCTTGTGTAATTTATAATAAAATAATGTGACTAACTGATGGAGACTGGAAAATGGAGATTGTATCTAAAAATAATGCTGCACAATGTTACCACAGTTTAACAAGTAAAGATTTACCTACTAATTCTGGATTTGTTGACTTAAGAACTTTAGTAATCCAAGACAATATACCAGAGATAGTTGTGACCGATAATTTACATATAGTTTTTTTTATATTTATTTATGTAGATTCAAGAAGATTGTTAACTTTATAGAGCCTATCTTTGCTTAAATTGTGACTAAAGTCACAACTTGCCAGTCACCTGAAGTGTGACTTGAGTTTGAAGATGGCTTCTTCCAAATGATTTAAAAAGTTCCTGATTTATGAGATATTGAACCGGCCGAACCCGTGTGGTCATGAAATAATTTTGATTGTGCTATTGTAACCTTTGAGGTATAGCCTGAATTAAAATCAGAAAGAAATTGTGTCAATAGTTAGTGTACTGAAATCCTCTTACTCAAATCCCTATTGCTGGTTTGGACTGATTGGTCTAGTCAATGCTAATGCAACAACTTTTTTCAAAACCAGAGGTAAGAATGGGTACATACACTATTATAGACTTGCATATACTACAAATTCTGACCAAATTTGCTGTAACTTCATTAGTGAATTGATTAATAGATATAATGTAATGTGAAAGAAGGATGAGACTCCATAATCCTAAAGGATATACTCTTCAGTTAGCCCTTAGGACTTGCTCTGTCATTGAATCCCATAGCTAGTTGTAAGCAAAGTTATCACACTCAGTAAAGTATCACACTGAGTAAAACTCAGTGAGCTCCTGTTGTCTTCCATACCCTTTTCACTTCTACTGAAAAGAATTTGCATGAAACATTCATCCACTAACAGCCTTTGTGAGTTGCCTGACATCAGAAAGCTGCTAAAAGTTGGTCACCTTTCCACAGAATGGACAGGGTCTTTCCAATGCTGTTAATAATAGTAGGTTAAATTATGTGTTAGGAAGAAGTTCTTTACTGTGAGGGTGGTGGGACACTGGCACAGGTTGCCCAGAGAAGCAGTGGATGCCCCATGCTGGAAGTGTTCAAGGCCAGTTTGGATGGGGTTCTGAACAACCTGGTCAGTGGAAAGTCCTGCCCATCCCCAGGCGGTTGGAACGAGATGATCTTTATGGTCCCTTCCAACCCAGACCATTTAATGATTTTGTGATCTTTTGCTTGTGCTATAATCAGGTGATGATGCCTCATGTCTTGTGGATTTTGCACTGGTTTTGCTTGGGATGAGTTAATTTTCTTCACTGTAGCTGGTATGAGGCTGTGGTTTGGATTTGTGCTGAAAACACTGTAGATAATGCAAGGATTTTTTCAGTTATTGCTGAGCAGTGCTTGCAATGAGCCAAGGCCTTTTCTGCTCTTCACATGCCCCACCACCAATTGGGCTTGGGGTGCACAAGGAGTTGGGACACAGCCAGGACAGCAGACCCAAGGGATACCCTAAACCATATGATGCCGTGCTCAGCAACAATCCAGGGGGAAAGCTGGCAGTGAAGAACTGCAGCTCAGGGACTGGCTGAGCACTGGTCTGTTGATAGTGAGCAATTGTTTTCATTTGCATCACTTGTCTTTTCTGGGTTTTAGTTCACTCTCATTAATTCCCTTTTCATTATTTTTTTATTATTATTACTACAGTTATTTAATTTTAGTTATTTAACTGTTCTTATGTCAACCCATGAGTTTTCTCACTTTTACCTTTTCAATTCTCTTGCCATCCCACTGTGGGTGGGGACTGAGCAAGCAGCTGTTTTGGAGCTTAATTATTTGTGGTTAAACCAGAATACTACTGGTAAAACCACTTGGTGACTCAGCCATCCTGTGTCTCACCTTCTAGCATTTTTGAAGGCTAAACCTCTTAAATCAAGTCTGTGAACCCAACAGTTCAGCTGTTTCCCATTTCTCTTGCTCCAAGTTGGAAAATCATGTGTTTCTTTCTCTAAATTGAGTTTCAGTGTCATGGGATAACAGTGGACTGTATGGAGCATTGTTTTTAACCACAATATGATGCTATTTGCCTCATTTTAAAGAGCTTGAGCATTTCAGTCTCTGCTGAATACCAATAATGGATGAGCTGATGACCCACTATTTGCATGGCTTCCAAATCTTATGTATCAGCAATATGGGATTTGACTTGGATCACATTTGATGTGCTCAATTGGTCAGAGCTCAGTGTTAATAATGCCAGGGTCACAGGTTCAATTGCCCTATGGGCCATTCACTTAAGAGTTGGACTTGATTATCCTCATGGGTCCCTTCTCCAGAATATTCTGTGATTCCTGAAGAAAAATTTGAGTAAACTGCAAAAATATGTGCAGGTTGTGATTGGACAGTGGAGTATGTGCACAAAACTATTCCTCTGTGCACATAACTATTATCCTAATGAGGCAAGAAAAAATGAAACAGTGAAACCAATTGTGTAAACTTAGCTGCAATACAAACAGGACTCTCTTAAGTGTGATTTTGTCAGAAACAGGAAAGGAAGTAATAGTTTCTATCATCTATGCTAAAAATCTCCTCTGATGCAAGTAGTTTCTAAGTCAGCTTATGAAAACTATTTCTGGTGCCTCAAGTATGGATGCTGATGTAAACTGCAGCTTTGGAAACAGTACCCTGTGCACGTGGTATCTTGTCATTCCACAACAGTTTTCTGCAAGTATTTAGAGAAAAGCACTGCAACAGTCAACATTCCAGGTCATCTCAGCCAAGTAAGAAAAACAAGCACTAGAAATAAGTTCAGAAAACAGATATTGCTCACACTTGAGATAATGTACCTGGCTTCAAAATTGGCTCACCCAGCCAGGTCTGGCAGTTCTAGCTCTTTAAAATCCAGTCTATACCAGTCTCAAAACCACTTCAGCTAAACCAGCTTTCAACTGTTTAAAAACTTCTGCTACTTAAGATGGGCCTGAATTGCCATATAACTCAGAATGAGATGAGGAAAATTTGGGAAAATAAGCACAGAGCAGTTAAAAAGAAACATGTTACCTAGGGTGGGAGTAAAGGAGTCAACACAATTTTTAATCGCTAGAGCATAAAATGTCAAAGCAACAATCTTTTATTTTTTTGTCTCTGTATTCCTCTGAATAAAAAAAATAAAGCTTTTGTTTAAAAAAATATCAACATGAGGCCTTAAGACCTTACATATTCTAACTTTAGCATGGAAAGTCTATTTTTACAACCATGTTAGAAATTCTGTATATAGGCCTGACTGACCTTGTAAGTGGAGTGGTGCGAGCAGCTAATCATGCAATATTGTAAGGCTCTGTAGAACAGCAAATGCTGATTTAGTTTGATTATGGTACAAGAACTCCTGCTCACTGCCTGTGTAGACTCTGCATACTTTACGCTTGGAAATACAGTCCAGAACATACTCAAACTGTGAATATATAACCTGATTTTTCTTTTCTTAAGGATAAAAATATATTACAATAGGTAATATTTTATATAGAATACAGTACTTATTTTTATTGTTGCATAAATGCAAAATATTTTTTTCAGAATAGCAAAGCATTATGGAATTTTTAATCTGCTGGAGAAAACACTATTTACTGTATGACCAGTTCTTTCAGCAAAGCTTTTGGGGTGGTATATACCAACTGGCTCTGCCAGCTTCATTTTGTGCTGATGTTTAACCTTGGACATTGCTGTAAAAAAAAAGCTATTTTTTCACTCATACTAGCCATTATTGAAAGAGGCAAGGAGAATCATGTTTCACCCCTGTGGCTGGGCTAGTGTTGGCAAAAACAATGATTTGCATCATATCATTGTCTTTGCTAGAAAAAGTTCTTTAAAAATCGTACCTGATGTAATAAAAATGCAAGATTTTGACAAACATCAAAATGAAGCACTGCAGTTTACAACTTTCTAGCTTTGAGTGTGATATTTTTGTCATAAACATTACAGGCATTAGGCTGTTGAATGAATCTGGCTTTCATGTAGCTAAACAAAATGTTGCTTTTTATAAAATCAAATCGTTGTAATTTGGGGTTCTAAATTCCTGCTCACTTTTAATAATAACAGCGTCACAGTATCCACTTCTACAAGAGTATTTAATACAAATGCCTGTGGTTTTCAATGTTACTAACATATTGTAACATCAGTAAAGTGACTTTCAATGACAAAGGCTCTGGTGTGTATTTTGTTCTGATTCGCTGTATTTAGCACTTTCTGTTTTATAGCTCTCTATAAAATAAAGATGTTGCATGCAAGGGAAAAGGCTAATAGAAGAATATAGATGTTATTCTTCAAATTCCAAGGTTGCAAATGATCCAGTGACCTTCTCAAATCTTTGTGTTAGGGACCTACTGTTCTCCAAGCAAATCTAAAATTACTATTCCTTAGTTTGCCTGTTTGAGGGCAACCTAGGAAAAATACCTATTTGAAACTATGCCTGGTGGTTGGCTCAAAGGTCGAGAGCAATCACCCCACCTGCTGTCACGTCAGTATCCTTCCCAGTATGCCTTGTAGGAAAGAGAAACCATCAATTCTGAGAGTAACTGTTTCTCTAAACCAGGTAACTTGCACATTCAATCTGTGCACTGAATCCACTCTTAACGGGGAAGCAATTTTTGAAAAGGTTTCAGGTGGCTTTTTTTTTAGCTAGGACAGCAAACTCTACACTAACTCCTTAGCTCTGTATGTATTAGCTTAGTTTCTCTCTAAACTTTGAAGATTATTTATCTCATCAGTCCCCGTGAATACACTGGATTTTTGAAATGTTGATGTAAAACAAAAAACTATTTTTTCTGGAGGAAGCCAGAATTTTCTCCTGGTTTTGGAACAATTTTTTTTTTCCAGTTTTCTCTGGTTTATGTTTACAAGACTACTGAAGAAAACCCTATTGGTTCACAATGTTTTCTTGCAGCATTTCACTGCCCAGTAAGTGGCTGGTGCCAAAATAGCGATTCAGCCTGGGGAAATAAACTGAGCAAGACTTGAGTTTTGGGTCCTTGGGTCTTGAGTGCTTTGGTCCACTTGAGTCAGCTGTCCTCACTGAATTCAGCCTACTCACTGTGATTGTGGAGTGAGAAACTGAGAAAACCTGAACACTGTGCAAGCATTGCCCAGCAACAGCTGAAACATTGCTGTTATCACTGCTGCTGATTAGGTACAAATCTGAACCTTTGGGCTGCTATACAGAAAATTAATTCTATCCCACCAAAGCAACTACAAGACCAGAAATACAACTAAGCAGTAGATGTGTGGGAAATGAACATTTTGGTAAAGCTCTCTTACTATTCTTAGGGTAAAATTAAGTGTAAGGATGAACACTGTATATATACAAAATACTCAAATCCCTACAGGAAGAACAGCCTTTTTTCACACTCTTACAAACCTCATCAGCTGTCAGAGGTTTGAACTGCAGCAGCAACTGATGTTGGCTGCCACACTCAGACAAATCTTTGTGGATTTTGGTCTTTCCATTAGAAATACTTCCGGTAGTATTCCATCTGTTTCCCAACTTCATGTGCAACAGGACAATGTACTGTCAGAATGTGGATCTATAATGCTGTCTTTGCCTTTGAAATTTTTTGTGAGGACAGAAAGAGAACTAGCTTCTGTAATGAAACTACAAGCAATACCCAAAGGATTCTAAATTTAAGCAGTAAGTACAAGTTACTTCTTTAGGTAAGACGAGCCTGCTTTGAATTTACAGCCCAGAAACTAAAGTGCCAGATTTAATAGACACCTCCACAAAGCAGGGTACAATACAGTATCTTTGAGTGAGATTCCTGCTCTGAGGAGCTCGTTTGTCCAATGATGTATATTTATATGTGTCTATAGATATGCACATATGTGTAGTTTTGCTTTCATTACTTAATGCAAAGGTTCCTCCCCAAAACTGCCCTAAACTACTTACTTAAGAAATATACTTCTTTTAATATTCTTATGGCATTGTATTCACAAGCAGCAAAACAACATATATCACTCCTCTGTGTAGGCAGAAGTGACCAAAATTAACAAAAGTTTCATTAACTTGTTTTATTGGAAAAAAGTTTGTAGTACCTCTGCACAGTTGTGCTGCTCCCTCTTTCCATACAATGTCCATCTTCCCCATTTCTCAAAAATCCCTACAACAAAAGCAACAATAAAACCTCCACCAAACAAAAATCCCATTTTTCCCCCCTGAAGAGGCTCAGGCAAGTAAGCCTTGCCTGTCTGTATCTGCTTTCACTGGTAACTACTGCTGTGATCTGAAAGAGTAACATGGCAAGAATTTTTTCCAAGTGAGTTTTGGCCCTTGTGTGTTAGCTGGCATACTGAGGCATAACTAGGGGTTAAAGTGGAGGAGATAGAAACATTTATTTACATGTGACTGAAGTCTGTCTGTCTGCCTGTGAACGGAGAGTTGAACATAAACGGACACAGCACAGCTTTTGTATGTTTAAAAGTGTTTTATGTAGTGACACAAACAAAGCAAGAATCTTACAAGAACAAAGCCCCTGGTACCAGGGCACAAGGCTAGAAGAGTTTTCTGCTATGTTTTGTTGCATTCCTGCTTAAAAGAAGTTCTAGCAGGTAGTCTTACAGTCAGTGCATGGTGTCACAGGCTTCATCTTCAAGAGAGCTGACAAAGTAAGTAACCAAAACTTACTGATGTTTTAACAGACCCGTGCAAAATGACCATTCCAAAATCCCTTTTAGTTTGTACATCTGTCCTATGTTGTCAAAGACAAGAAAATATGTATTCTCATAAGTCAAACACGTTACTGTTTAAGTCAGAAAATGGTAAGTTGTATTCCAGAAACTGATTTTGGTGAATCATGGGAAAAAAGTAGACACATGACTGAAAGTCTTACCATTTGTGTGATCTGAGTTACACATAGTGAATTGCAAGTTTATGAAAATAAAAGCAGCTTTAATAATCACAGATTGGAAGTTAAAGACAACAGTACATGAGTAGTTCATATTCATTATCAAGACTAAAAAATGTGTGAAAAGGGATGCCTTCATGAAATATGCAATTTCCAATATTGAGATACACAGTCTTTGGAGAACTTGGCAAAGCAAAACACATACTGGAATGTTAAATCATGATCATCCACGGCTTGCTTCCTTTTGATTTAGATGCTCATAACACACTGTATGAACTGAAAAGAGAATAACTACTTCTTAGATGTATGACAGAGAACGAGTTTTTACTTTTTCTCCTACAATACTCATTGTCACTACACATTTCTGTAAAGAAATTCAGCCCATGAATAGTAAAGCTTTAAAATGCATGTGAAAATAAATTAATTAAAAGCAAAAGTTAATTAAAGCAAAGCATCTCCTTAATCATACCAACAACACCAAAAATAAAAACTAGCACACATGGTCCTCCCCCCAGCACCAAAAAATCCCCCAAATCCAGGATGACTCGAATCTAGTGTTCTCTTTCTGCTGCACAGATGTGGCTAGGAAGCCAAGACCCAGAAGCCTGACTGAGTGTGATTCATCCACCAGACCTCCACCAACCCTTCCCAGGAAAAATGCCTACCAAGCTTTAAAACAGAAAATGAAAAAAAAATCACAGAAAGTGATGCTAGTAAGTGATGTAGCTTCTTTGATCTTCTTGAACCACACTGGTTAGAAGTTCAGAAAAAGGTACACAACATTTTACAGAACTCTGCAAAATACGCAAAACTTTTTGAGACAATACTCCACATGCCCTAGAACTTCTGGGTTCTCACTGCATGTGTAGGGAAGGCACAAACTCAAATCTTTACTGACTGTCTTAAGTTTTTATTTTGTTTTACCCTGGAATGTTACTGGATTCCTTAAAATTTACTTACATCATCATAGTGGAAGTTCACAAAACCCTGCTGAGTTGTATCCCTTCTTCTAAAGCATTCTGCAAAAATTGATTAAGAAAACAGAAACCAGGTAAGAAGAATTGCAAATAAACATTTTTTTAAAGTGTACAGTACTTTCCTAAAATTTCCCAAGTCACATGAAGGAGAACATGATCAAGAATACTGCAATTCATTCCAAGACTAAATTTTTATATCATATACAACCCTTTATGTTCTGTTAATAAAAAAAGTCTCCCAATTTTGTAACATTACTCTTCCAGTCTCTGGAATGAACCCTGCATTAGTATAAAGTCCTTTTTTTCATGGGAATTAAAAAAATCGTAGTCTCTAGATTATTGATAGAAACCTCTTTTGTAGTATGCCAAAGTTGAACTTGAGATAAGTGAACAAAGAGGTTTTATTAAATAAAAATATATTATAGGGATGACAGCAACAAGGCCACAATCCAGCATACCAGTGAGAGCTCGGAGTTTCACGCAGCAGGCAATGTAATCATCAAATGCAATCTTTCCTTGAGTGCTGTATCGCTTTGTGATGGCAGTCACAGCCTGTGGGCTCAGTCTAAATCCTATTTGAAAATAATAAAGTCCTATTTTGAAAAGCCAGGTAAGTTAATAGAATCCAACAAGTTTTCATTGGAAATATCATGTGTTAGTTACTGCAGGATGATAACTGGGAAATGGTGTGAGTCAGGGTCAGAAGCAAGAACATTTCACAACTTACCCATGGTCATCAAGGCTTTCTCCAGTTCCTGACGATCCACTGTGCCACTTCCATCACTGTCAAAACTTACAAAGTGTTGCTTCCAGCCATTGACCACAGCCCAGAGTTCTTTAAACTCATTAAATCCCAGTGTGCCAGACATATCCCTCTGATTTCAAAGCTAAGAAAAACATTTCTTAACTAAACAAAACCACCAACAAAATTTGACAAACAAAAAAGGCATCTCTCTGTAGTTAAAACTTACTTGAAGGCCGCTATTAATACAATTTTACTATTATTAATTTCTCTTGTAGAACACTAAAGCATCCCCCAGCACAGATGGAGGTAATACTACCCAAAACCTAAGGTCAGAGATCTGCTCTCCCCACTTCTTCCCAGTGAAACCTGCTAAAGCAATTTTCCCTTTGTGAATTCTACTTTAGTTGACACACTTCTCTTTAAACTGCTGCTATGTAATTGTATCCAATTAAATACATAGCTGAAATAAAAATAAATGCCAAAGAATAAATTGTTATAATAGTAGTTCTCTTGTATTCTAAGTGGTTTGTTCGAGATGAGCTAAGAGCCCTTCCAGTTTAATGTCTGCTTTTTTCTTTTTAAGCAGAAAAACTTTCAATTTAAGTTTTGGCTAACAAACCTCCAAAGATTCCAACCTTACACAGAATATCTAAGTGTTCCACAGGTCCTACTGCTGAATGCCATATACCATTCCATTAGATACTCAAAGCTGATTCATTCATGGAACAGGATTTAGGAGGACTTAGATTGTATTCAGGCTGTGCACAACAAATGCTTAAAATTCATTAGGAAGGATGAGAAATTGTAAAGGTGTCCTATTTGAAAAGCACAATAAGTGATTTGCACAACACTTTATTCTGGGCCACCAGACGTGACTGTTCATACACTTAATGGAGAAACAGCTCCCCAGGCTTAGAGGGATACCACTTGCTGTAAAATGATTGGTCACCAAGAGCCTCATTTATTTATTATTTCTTAATTTGTTAAAATTAGTGAGAATGGAGTTTTGTACCTTCCCAATCACAATGATCACAAGACTTATTAAGTAAAGGTTGAATGGAAACTACAAAGCATTTCCCAAATGTTTTGGCGCTCTCTCATCTTTGCTTACATAATGCAAAAATGTTTACATTTCATACTAAAGGATACATCCAGCATTGAGATCATGAGTCTGCAAGTCTCTAAGTTGAAAGCTGTTAAAAATAGAAAAAGGAAAAATAAATTATGTTAAGAGCATATTCTTCAGTTTTATCTAAACATAAAATTTCAGATTTATTATAAATTTAAATTATATAAACTATTATGTAATTGGTTACCCTGCATACAGCCATACCATATTTTTCATCCAAGTAAGAGCCATTATTGTTAGAAAAACTGACAGCAGGCAATTTGGAGGCAATTCAAGTTATATTTAAAATTAACTTGCTTTCATCTTAATCCACAATAGTTTTGGGTTTCAAAGTGGTCATTTATATTCCCCCCCAACAGACACCACTTGAGCAAGCCAGTTTCACTCACAGAAGCTGTAAACTGAACAGGAGGTATTCCAGCAGAGGAGTACTACCACAGATTTTGATCAATATCAAAGCTCAATTCAAACCAAAGCAAAGCATCTTTTTAAGAACTGTCTGTCCATTACAAAACAAATCACTTCAACTCCACAGCCCAGCAGAGAGGGGAACTAAGGAGGCTGAAAAGGCAAATCCTGGGCACACAGAACTGAATACAGAGAATTTACATGACCAAGATATGGAAAGGAAACCCATTTGCCATGCAAATAAAAAACCCAGCTCTGCAGAAGGCACAACTACACACGTTTTCTAGGGAAGGAGAATTAGTGTGCTTTAGATGCGCTTGTTTATTCAAATCATTAACTTACGTTTATATGATCCTGCAATCCCTGACTGGGTGAGACATCTCTGTAGCTCATCAGCATCTATTTGTCCATCCTTTCGATAACAGAAGATGTATCAGCTATTAATACCCTCTCCCAAGCTGCTTATTCCCAGTACCCACTCCCTTTCCAGTGGCATTCAATTAGTTATGCTTCTCAAGACATCCTCATAACTCACAAATATAAAAATTCCTGCTTTTTAAAATATTAAGTTGCTAGTAGAACAAGCAAATGTAGAAAGCAAAGAACTTTGAAAGAAAAACAAAACAAACTCAGAAAAGATACCTATCCACATGGCTTGGAAAAAGCCTCACTTCCAACAAATCCTTCTCAGGGCCAAATAGAGAAAACAACTGCCAATTCATGGAATGCAATGAGCTGCCAGAACTGGAGGTGGAATTCTAAGCTTCATTCCTCACATCCCCAACATGAAGTTTGGTTCACACAGAGTTTAAATTAATCTCATTCAGGAATGGAACATTATGTCTGTAGACATAAAAAATGATGACACTTCTGCAAAGCATCAGAAGATGAAAAGCCAAGTTGGCTGTCAGGAAAAGTTTTTTTGCCCAGAGAGTGGCTGAACATTGGAATGGGCTTCCCAGTGAAGTGATCACAGCACCAAGCCTGACAGAGTTGAAGAAGTATTTGGACAACACACTTGGGCACTTGGTTTGATTCTTGGGCTGTCTTTATCAGGGCCAGGAGTTGGACTCAATGATCCTTGTGGGTCCCTTCCAACTCAGCATATTCTATGATTCTGTTTGTTACAGCATTTTCCTTATGTTTTGAAACCTCTTTTATTCAAGAATAGAGATATTCTACTGAATGATATGGTGGCAAGAGCACAGCCTGATAACTTTCAGAAATTAAATATTGTTTAGAAGACAAATAGTAGTTCTGTGTTAAATGATATTTGACAAGGTCTGAAAAAAAGGCAACAATGTTTTGATTCTATGTAAAGTAAATGGCAGCTAAACCCAAATTTGCTTCCTATCTACTCCATCAGTATAAGTAAGTAGATGTATTTAATACTTTAAATTCATGGGGTGGGGAAAGAGAAGAGATTTGAAATAGCCATTACTATTAAGTAACTAATCTCTTCAAAGGCTTTGTACCTTCTAAAATAAAGATAGAAACTGCATAACTTTAAAATAGAGGAAGATACAAAAGCGTGACTGTAATCAAGATTAACATTACCAAATATATGCTTGTCTTTTTTGGTTTTTTTAAGTAGAACATAAGCAGGTTCAACTTGACAATGCATATGAGCTTTTCAAACAGGCTAAAAAATAAATTATTACTTCCTAAAAAGACAGATTCAATTGAATAAAGATTTGAAACAATATTTTTTACTTTCTTCTGTGAACGAAGGAAACTAATTCATCAAATCAAAGACAAGATCCCTGCTGTAAACTACTTCAAAGAAAGCTCAGAGAAAACATCAAATATTATATAGCATAAAAACAACACAGCAATAAACCATAACCAAAACATACTAATTCTACAGTAAGTATAGATGGATAACTGAGATGTGGCTTTTTACAGAGTTGCATGGATGGCTATAAAAGCAACTGATAATTTAGCTGTTACATTTAACTGTCTCCTTACAGGGTTTTTACTTCTGCACAGCCACTGGTACCAGAAACAGACACCTCAGATTCCAAGGATAACTTCGAAAGCTACTGAGTTCATTTTAGTAAGGAATGATTTCTACAGATAGAAAGCATTTCAGAGTATAAACCTAAGTATTCTTAAATGCTAACTTGATCATATCCATCAATCCAGTGGGAATGGGTAGTATCCAGCTTCCAGGTTCCATGCCTCACTTGAGAAAGCTGAGCATGGTCTATGCTTTGCTGAGATCCAGCTCCTGCCACCTCTTCTCCACAGTGCTGTCTCCTGTTTGCTGCTCCCTCCCTTTCTCTTTACAATAGGAGCTCATTCATTTGCCCAGCATCAGTTACTGGCTCCAGTGCTGACTCCTGGCACACATCCAGGAGGCACCTGCACAGACACATCTCAGCTGGCAGACAAATTGTCAGCACATTCAGCAGAACTCAGCTCTGAGCTCCACCTTCTCAGAAAGGCCTAACTACACAGAGGTCATTCTGTGTTCTCCTTTACCAAAAAACACATGGTCTAAATATTTTCATAAGCAGTTAGAAGAAGTAAGACACAGACTGCAAGATGCATTATTAATTCAAAAGAGTAACATAGAGAACAAAACTAATCCAAGTTATGGTGGGAATCTGAACATCAGCTAATATTGTTGAATTTAAATTTTCATGTTGTGGTTTGCAGCTACCTGAGGATAGCAGATCCAAGAGCAGAGTTTTAGATGTGCACACACCCTACAGGTGTGCAATAAATAGCTATAATATAGCAAACAAACAAGGAACTTCAGCTCAATAAACCTAACTTAATTGTTCCTAAACTCTGTAATACAATTCAAAGAGCATTTGTTTCTAGCAACATACATGATCATACAAAAACAGTATATGCCACAAAATTACAGGAAAGAAATTAAAAATGCAGTGCAGAATGACAGGGCAGAAAAAAAAAGACTTGTGAAAGCCTTTCCTTTAGAAGAATAATCACTCTATGCTACCAGTAAACCCAGATATTGGCACAACCCATGACTGCTTTTCCATTTGTGAGTCTATTAAGATCATGTAATGACCTCTTTCCTGTTAGCATTTCCTGCTCTTAGCCAGGCCATCTCCACAGCCCACGCTTTCCACTGTTTCTCTTTTCTTTCTCCTAAGCCTGGCAGCATTCACCAACCCAAAGCTGTCACAATTCAGTAACAAAACTTCATGCATTTAAATATTCCCTGCATATACCTGTATAGGAAATAGAGGCACACATGCCTATGTTTCTGTATATATGTATGTATTTACACATACAATATAGAAACTAACAGCATTATTCAAATTGTATAGTTCCTGTATGTATACAGCTATAACATAGACCAGTACAGGTGTACATGGCAAATAGGCTAAGTAAAACAATTATGGATTTGGTTTTTTTAACTAGAAATATCAGTTTTTCTCACTGCAAATACTAGGCATTTCTCTTTCCAAAGGTAGAGAGTATTCCCCCGGAAGAAAAAAAAAATCCAAGAAGTAAATATTATGAGTTTAGTAAATTTTGTAAATCAAATAAGCAAATTTTGTAAGTTTACCTGCCCTCCTACTGCAGCAAAATAACCATACAAAGGATCCTGAGCTTGTCCAGGGAATGCTGGTCCTCCTGGAGCTCCTCCATACTTTGGAAACAAAAAAGAAAATTAATTTTAAATCAATGATTCAGTTAAGGATCTGTACTTATCAACTTATGTTTTCATGTACACACCATGCCAGAAAAAAAGTCCAACCAAAAAGGAAACTCCTCATGAAAAAAATCCCCCAAACCAAGTCTCAATTTCAGTACTCATCTAGTAATGTAAGCAGATCAGTATAAAACCTTGCACAGGAGCAATCGACTGATCTAGATCCAGCCTGGTCTATCTCACCGAGGTTTCATTTTATTCTACCCTTAGCAGAAAACGGCGTGCCGAAGAAATACTAAGGCACTGCAAATTTTTTTTTTCCAGTTCAGCAAAGTTGAGCAAAACAGATGTCTATGGCAAATGCATGTAAGAATATGCATTAAGTGTGAAAGCCCCTAAATTAAACTGATTTTTAAGTGAAAATCATGGAATGACACCCTCAGCACTGACTTTCTCCCCCGGCAGCAGCGGCGGGGGAGGCGCCTCCTCCCTCCCTTCTCCCCCTTCTTGGCGCAGCCCCGAGCCGGCGCCTGCGGCCCCTCCCGGCGGGAGCGGCGGGCACAGGCCGGGCAGACCCCGCCTGACCCTGCTCCCGCCGCTCCCGCCGGCCACATCCCCCCACGGGCCCGGCCCCGCTCACCCCGCCCTGGTAAAACCCGCCGGGTACCGGCTGTCCGGGATACGCCATCTTCGCCTGGCACCGGCTCCGGCGGTCCGGCTGCGCCCGGGAGCAACCACCCGGATACGGAGGGAGGGCGGCAACTTCCAGCCCCGGCCCTTCCCGGAGCCCGCGTCCCGCCACCGCCCAGGCGGGGCAAGCAGCGACCTTCCGCCACCAGGGCAGCGGGCGGTGCCGGGCGGTGCCGTCGGGAGGTGAGGGGTCGCCCCCTCCGATCTCCTCCTCTCCAAGCTCCCCCTCTGGCACGGTGGTACCGGCCGGTGGCCCCGCGGCGGCATTTCCCGGCACAGCTGCCTGGGGCCCGCCCGCATCGCGGGGCGGGACGTGGGGCTGTGTGCGGGGGCGGGCGGGGAGCGCTGAGGGCGCTGGGCTCGGCCAAGGGCTGCGGGCTCACATTGCCTGTGGCTCCCGGCCAGCAGCTGTCAGACACCCGCGGGAGTCAGCGCCCGTGAACGGAACGGATCAGCTGAGGAGAAGGAAGAGGCTGCGCCCCGGAGCCAGCGGCCGCGGGCAGCGGAGGTGGAGCCGGCCCCTGGCGCATCCCGGGACTGCTGCTCCCGGGCAAACGGTGTTCTGTGGCGGCTGTGACCCACTAAGGTGACGGGAAAGCTCCTGACATGTTCACTGGTGAAACGGTTGAGTTGATATCAGATTATTTCAGAACCACCGACTCGTGATTTACCAAAAGACCGCCGAGGTCATTGACTCAGTTCCTGCGTCTGTATCGTGTATCCCAAAACGCATCCTTACGTGTTCTCTCTTGGTACCGTTGCTTTTTCTTCAGAATTGGACCACCCGTCCCTGTTCCCAAATACAGAGAATAAGCTGTATAATTTCTTTTGGATCTGTAGGTCCAAATTCTGGAGTAGGAGCTGGGGGAATGCCCGTGTCCCACTGGAGCGGGGGAGTCCTGTTGTGTTCAGTCGGGGCCGCTCCCGGTTTGGGATTTTCTGGAAGAGCTTTGATCCAGCAGCCTCTTCCCGGCTGGCGGCGCTGCCCGGTGCAGCCCGAGGTTTTCTCCCGCTGTTCACCCAATACCCCAGGGAGCAGCATCAGCCAGAGCGGTCTGAGCTGATCTTGCGGCTTTGCAAAACATAGAACTCCGTCCCTCTCCTAGCGGGAGCTATTTAATTCAGACACAAGACGATGAGAGATCAGTTGCTGGAGTCTGTATGACTGAAACAAATCTTCTAATAGAGACCTTGCAGGGCAAATGGCCTGTTGTCAGAAATCTGGAAGCATAAAAATTTTATTTTTCTGTTTATTGACATAATTTCTGAAGAACGTTATAAATTTGAGTAGGACCTTAATTAATTAAAGTATGCTAATTTATAGTAAACTTTCCATTTAAAGTGAGTCACCCTTCTCAGCTTCTAAGTCATCCAGTAAACAGGACTTTCAGATGTTATCTCTGTGGCATATATTTTATTATTTCAGCACGAATTGCACCTTATAACTGCTAACGATTGCCAATGACATGAAAACAAAACTGGTGTTCTGTGTAATTTAATAACCAATAGAGTTGCCAAATGAGACAAATTATTTAATACCTTCATCACACAGAATTATAGTAGAGGAAATGTATTTAAATATCTGTATAGAGGCTTTGCCCCAGAGGTCCCAGTTGCCCTTGATGGCGCTGCAGCTGTGACCAATGAAGATAACTGGGATAAAAGGGGGTGGGTTAGCCAGTCAGGGAGAGCCCTGAACTGAGAGAGAACAACATGCAGAAGAAGGAGTCTGTGCTGTGAAGATCTGCAGCCATGAGAATACACCAATGAGGTATGGACTTTACAAATCTGATCACAACAGCAATATGAGACTCTAGAAATAATAGAACAGAAATTGGTGACCCCGATGTGATAGTTAGCAGAAGATGAGACAGCTGAGAGCTGTGGCAGCCAAGAGCTGCGACAGAACATAGCCTTTGGGTCAAGGAGCTGTGAAAGTGTATGACCTTTGAGCAAGGAGCTATGTGTGTTGTACATGGCCTGTGAGTCATGAGAGAATATGGGTGTTGTACATGGCCTGTGAGTCATGGAGAAATGTATGTGTTGTATTTGAACATCTGTACAACTGTTAACTCAAGTAAAAGAAAAGGGGGAAATATAGTAGAGGAAATGTATTTGAATATCTGTATAGAGGCTTTGCCCCAGAGGTCCCGGTTGCCCTTGATGGCTGCAGCTGTGACCAATGAAGATAACTGGGATAAAAGGGGGTGGGTTAGCCAGTCAGGGAGAGCCTTGGAGGAGCCCTGAACTGAGAGAGAACAGCATGCAGCAGAAGGAGTCAGTGAAGATCTGCAGCCATGAGAACACACCAAAGAGGTATGGACTTTAGAAGTCTGATAATATCATTATGGGACTCTAGAGAAATAGAATAACAACACGGAATAGCATATATTAAGCTGAGAAACAAAGTAGTGACCCTGTACAGTTTCTTGGCTTAGGAAATACTTCTCTCACAAGGGTACTTAACTAAGTGTATTGATATCAAGATGTGCACTGGTCAAATAGTTGTTTTGACCAGACTTAATCATGTGCAGTGCAAGTTATTGCAGGCTCTGTGCTGCATTTCGTTAGAGTACATATATTAATGTCCAGGCCAAAAGCCCTCCTAATTAAAATAGGACCAAGGAACAGTGATAAAAATAATAAAGGCTGGAAAGATTGAAAATAAGTGGTAAGGAATGTAAGTGATAAGATTTGAAGAGTTGTGCATTGAAAAACAAAATATCAAATGGTATATATGTATTGCCAATAACTTAATAGGAATGAATTTTTGATTGCTTTGGTGAGAAAAAAACAGATATGGTTTATATCAGTTGGTAGATAAAGACACTAAGCTGTACAGCTGTAGCTGTATAGAAAAGGAAGATGTCTTTCATCAGTGTAAATATCTGGACATCCTCTATTTTCTGTACTTCTACTGACACTTGTGGCAGTCAGCAAATAATAGAATTTAGGCTGGAAAAGATCTCTTAGAACATTGAGACCACCTGTTAATCCAGCACTGCCAGGCCCACCACTAATCCATGTCCAGTGCACATCTACAGGTCTTTTAATTCCCCCAGGGATGTTGATTCAGCCATTCCTTGGGCAGCCTGTTCCAAAGCTCAGCAATGCTTTCAATAAAGACATTTCTCCAAATATCCAAAAACCTCCCCTGGCATAACTTGTGTCCATTTCCTCTTTTGTTCCTTACAAGTAGAGACTGACCCCCACCTCACTACAACCTTTTTTTCAGGCAGTTGTAGAGAGTCATACTGTCCCCTTTCAGCCTCCTTTTCTCCAGGCTAATCACCCCTGCTCCCTCAGCTGCTCTTCATCAGACTTGTGTTCCAGACCCTTCATCAACTCAGTCGCCCTTCTCTGATCCTGCCCCACCACCTCAGTGTTCTTCTTGTAGTGAGGGGCCCAAATGCACTGCACTCAGTAGTTAGCATTTGCAAGATTATTTATATTCAAATATACATGAGAAAAATAGCTAGGAGAACATGTAACCAAGGGATGTATTTTAAATGGATTGTTGGGTAGGCATTTTGTTTGTACTGGTGCATTTGCTTATTCCTTATCTGAGGGAAATGAAGGCTGCAAAGGAAGGCTGTTTGAGGAAATTAATGAGTATGCATCTGCCTTCTGAAGGGCTACTGAGCTGTGGTAACCTTTTAAGTTTCCATAAGTCCATCATATTACAAACACACCAGTAAGAAATCTGTGTGGAATAAATAGTTTCTGATTTTGCAGACTCAAAGACTGTGTGATCCCTCTAGTGGGAAAATTGAAGTCAAGCAACACAGGAGGCTAGTACTATTGCCTTTTTTTTTTTTTTTTGAGATAATTCACTATTTTTCTAAGAAAAGGCCTAGGTAAAATAATTTTGTTTAGGAAGGGAAAATTATGTGCACAGTTTTCATTCCATAGCTGTTTCTGGATTCTTCGTAGTAGGATTTTAAGAAAGAATTCGGAATGGAGCTACAGTAATAGTGTTACTGCCTTAAACTCTGGTCACAAGTCACATTCATTATGTGTGCCATGCTTCCTCACAGTGAACCAAAGCTAGCATAAACCCATGACAAGTCACAGACTTTCTGCTTGCCCATCTGTTCTACTTCTGTTCCTTCTAAGTCTGGGTACATTTAACCCTGACATGAGTTCACATGTGATGTGGGAATGTGGTCACCCTGAACTGAGAACCTTGAGCTGGGTCCTGCTGCCAGTTACTTTCCCATCTGGTGTAGTGGCTGGGAGCTTGGTGCTGGTGTGCTGAGGTGTCACACTTCCCTGACAACTACAATAAAGCTAGGGAGGAGAAAGGGAATTAAAGTGTAAAGTTCAATTTTCTTGAGGTGTTTACTTAGCACAGCTGAGGTGATAAAAATTTCAGAATACTGCTTAGGGAAGGCCAAGAAATAATCTCTTCACCCTTATAATTGCAATACTTGAAAAGAGGCATAATTTTAAACAGTGAAAAAATACTTGTAGTACAGACCAGATGCCTCTAATATAATGCCTGACTTGGTGCCCAAAGGAATGGTGCTTCTGTATTCTGCTACTTTTTTGTCTTTGATGCCACCCTTACGTTTTTTATTTACTGCATATTACTTATGCTCAGTTCTGCAGCCAAGTATTTTGTACAGGATTTCCTTTAGTAACCAAGTTTAATGATGGATTCATCCTATAAAGTACTTGAAAGGATAAGGGGCAAGGGGAAGGTATTTCTGTCACTTTATAGATAATAGAAAATTTTGTTCTCCATATCCTCTGTGATTTTAGTCATCCAGTTTGAGCTACCTCAGTCTTTCTGCTTTATCTGTCTTCCAGACATTTCTTTCCCAGCTGCAAATTCTTTAATAGATGGTTCAGAGGTGACCAACTCCTTTACTCCATACTCAACTTCTTTGTTTCATCTGTGTTCAGAGTGGTGGAAATTGTTCATCGCTCCCTGGGCATCAGCAAGAGTATCACTGAAGGCCTAAAACAAGATAACCTTAATTGTGGATGGTACAGCTAGTGAGATTTTGATATTGAGATTTTTTGAGGCTAACACTCAGCTTTTATTCAATGCTGTACGATAACACAATCTACCACATCCATTTAATTAT